GAAAACCCATTTGAATTCTTATCATTTTTTTGGTAATTGAGTTTTCATATACGGACGATACATCAGGTTGACACGACGATTGATATCAATGAAAATGAATAATTACAAATTGCTGGTTTTTCAAATAAAACAATAATGATACTATGGACTATTTAGAGAAATAGTTTAATTTTTCTACAAACATATTTCTTTTGTTTTGAGACAAATTTCATTTATAGGGCCCATAAAAATAATAATATCTTGATAAGAGTAGAAGATAACAAGATGCAGAAACGATTTGATTGATGTAAACCAGTGTTAGTACTTAGAGCATGATTATAGGTGGGTTCTTAGTATTTGCTCTTAGCAATATTTAAATAATTTATTTGTAAAAGTGATTGTTAAGAGATGATATTTTTGAGTTAAGATTTTTGTGTGATTAATGGTAGGCTCTTAACATGTGGTTCTTAAAAAAAAAAATTAATATAAAACAAAAATTCATAATTATAGAAAATTTAATAATTGTTACAAATTAAAAAAATTAAAACATACATGAGATACAATTTATAACATACATAACATAAAGCATAAATGTTTTAAACTTAATTTCTGGAATATTTTGTCCATATATGCTCGACCAAATCATTCTTCAATTGTTGATGCATACCTCGATCACGAACTCGAGCTCTATTGGTCATCATTCCGAAGAAATTTGAAGGCATATCTGTAGAATATGTGAAATCCACCCGTGAACTTCCTGCAGATTCCGCTTGTTCGAATTCGGTCGTATCAAACAGAGTATACCCATCTCGTTCGTCTTCTACTATCATATTGTGAAGTATTATACATGCTCGCATAATATTTCCTATTTTTACCTTATCCCAAAGAAGAGCCGGATTTTTGACAATGGCAAATCGAGCTTGCAAAACTCCAAAAGCGCGCTCGACATCTTTACGGCAAGCTTCTTGATGGGTTGCAAATAAAGATGCTTTCTCAGTTTGTGGAAGTGAAATAGATTGGATAAAGGTAGCCCATTTAGGATAAATGCCATCCGTGAGATAGTAACCCAAATTATACTCGTTCCCGTTGACTGTATAATTCACTGCTGGTGCTCGCCCTTTTAAGATGTCATCAAAAACCGGAGAGCGATCTAGAATATTGATATCGTTTAAAGTACCTGGCGGTCCAAAAAACGCATGCCATATCCAAAGATCTTGGGAAGCTACAGCCTCTAAAACGATCGTTGGTTTTCCAGAGGCACGTGTATATTGTCCTTTCCAAGAGGTAGGGCAATTCTTCCACTCCCAATGCATACAATCAATGCTTCCCATCATCCCGGGAAATCCTCGAATCTCTCCAATAACGAGTAGCCGTTGAAGATCTTCTGCAGTGGGTTGTCGTAAGTATTCATCTCCAAAGCAATAAATAATTCCGTCAACAAAATGTTCCATGCACTTCATCGAAGTGGTTGCACCAATCCGCAGGTATTCGTCAACCGCATCAGCCGCTAAACCATATGCAAGCATACGAATTGCTGCTGTACACTTCTGTAGTGTAGATAAACCGTTTCTTCCTGTAGCATCTCTTTTTTGTTGAAAGAATGGAATTGTGGAGAGGCGATCAACAACACGCATGAATAATGACTTATTCATTCTAAAACGGCGTCTGAATAGATTAGGAGGGAAAGTTGGATTTTCTGCGAAATAATCGTTCCATAACTGGATGTGTCCTTCTTCTCGATTTCTTTCAATATGGACTCGTTTTTTCCTCGGTTTTGCGGCTTGCTGACGATCATCGAAAGAATCCAATGAATTATCCAACGCTTGATGGAAAACATTGGATAGTTCTTCGTTCAACGCTTCTGAGAAATTGTAATTGGAAGATGAAGCCATTTTGTATGTTTGTAAGAAATTGAAGATTTTTTGGTTGTGAGTTTGTAAGAAATTGAAGATTTTTTGGTTAAGACAAGAGATAATTCATCGTATATAAACTTTGTGATATTTATAGGCAATGTTCTGAAATAATACATGGTTAGGAATCATTTGTGACTTGTGGTACAAAAGCTTGCTGGAAACTTGTGGTCAGAAAGAAGACTTGGTCTTCCAAAAGCTTGGTCCGTGAACAAACAGACAGCATCAAGTGGTACAAAAGGCTTGCTGGAAACTTGTGGTTAGAAAGAAGACTTGTGGTGTCGAAGATAGTACAGATTTGGACTTGTCCTCTTCTACTCCTTTCACGTGAACCTGCACATACATATATGAAGAGATCATTTAAACTGAAACAGAGAGTTTTAAGACAAAAATACATATATGAAACAACACAAAACTAATTGAAACATAAACTTCATTTACCATATTACACAAACATAACCAGAAATACAAACATAATTCCTAATTGAAACAGAAAAACAAAGACAGAAATAGATGATCAAAGCAATACATGAAGTCCATTGGGTGCTGTAGGCAGGGAGTTCAGATTCACCAAGTCTAATACTTGGTGATGCTGACTCATACGTATTGGAGAAAGGACTAGGCGTTTCTGGTTGACTTGTTAACAGCTCCATGAAGTTTCCAGAGTTGGTATATGGATTCATTTAGAGAGTGAGTGTTTAAAGAAAAGGAAAGAAAGAGTTTACAAAAGGAATGAAAGAGTTTACAAAAGGAATGAAAGAGATCTGCTGGGATAATTAAAGATTGCTGAAGGAGGGTAGAGCTATAAATTGCTAGGATAATGGAAAAATTTAAGATATGGGTTGTGGTAGGTTACAGTTATGGTTGAGTTAGCAATCAATACCAAAAGACTGTCCTAATCAACAACTATAGACACAAAAGCAACAATTAAAGAAACCATCATGCATTTAACACAAGAAGAGACGTTTACTTGTTTAATAGCTAAAGAAGAGGAGACAATTAAAGACACAACCTCACCAAATAAGATATCATCATACACAAGCATTTATGACAACCCAACACAAAGCATGCAATTTATGACAACCCAACACAAAGCATGCAATTTATGACAACCCAACACAAAGCATGCAATTTCTTTCATCAAATATGACTAAGCTAAATCTAAATACACAATACAAACACAGAGAAAATTTTATGTACCTTGAGAAGAGTGAGATCAGAAGCTAAGATGTCCCTCTACAAGCATCCTCTAGCAGATTCCAACTCTCCAAGCATGTCCATATACTCCTAGCAGTAAAGCAGAGAACGTTTTATGAAATTACATAGATAAACTAATCAAAATCAAGAGGAAAACATAGAACATTTGAGTTTAATCATGCCTAAACTAATCACACATTAAAGATCTCTAAGAAACCAAACAATCATGCGTATAGCAACAAAAACTAATCAAACTCATGAGCAAAACTAAGATCTAACAGAGAATTACTCGAAACAATAATGTATAACTGATGAACAAAATAATCTCTACCAACAGTCGGGTTTAATCATGCCTATTTCGTGATCAATCAAGCCTCTCAATACAAACAGACACTCAGTTATGATTCAAATTACCCAGATTATACAAAGAAACGAATAACCCTAAACCCCAATTGGACGAACCCTAAAATCCCAAATCCGACAAACCTTAATTTTGAAAACCTAAAATCACATCAATTCAAACAAACATACACTCAGTTATCGTTTAAATTACCCAGATTATACAAAGAAAACGAAAAATAATTTTTCCCCAATTCGTCAAACCCTAATTTCCCAAATCCGACGAGCCCTAATTTTAAAAACCTAAAATCACATAAATTAGCACAAACAAAGAGAGATTCCTACCTTGACAAACAGATTCTCATCGGTTTCGAATCGAAACTCGACAGTCGCCTGAATTTAGGCCCGATTTCGTCACCTCCGATTCGCCGATTTTGTGAAAAGAGAGAGCCCTCGACAACCACCATCGCTGGGGATGATGAGGTCACGCGGCAACGACGGCCAGAGGTAAAAACAGACCAGATTTCTCCGATTTTGGGTTGATTTACCGGAATCTCCTTCGTTTCGATTTCATCGTTGAAATCGCGAGAGAGAGAGAGAAAGAAGAGAGAGACGGCGAAAAAAAGAAGAAAACACGGTTTCATTTTTTTTGGGGTTTATATATTTTACGCTTCGATCGCTGATACGCTGACACGTGTCCAGCTCTTCACTGTTGTTTTTGTTCCTTAGCTAAGGAACGTTTGTTAGTTTAAAACAAGCTTTCTCATTTATTTTAATTCAACAATAGAGTTAAGATTTGTCTAAGAACCCCCCTATAATCCTGCTCTTAGTACTATCTTGATTCTCATAGGTCTTATCTTGTACTCCTACCATATTTTAATTTGCGTAAAGCATATTGTAATTTGATTATTTACACGCAATATTGTAACAATTCTTTGGACTGTTTGATGATTTGATTTTGTGTATTGGACAGTTTAATGCAGCAGAAAAAGACAAAACAAAACCAAAGATTAGATATTGACTATTACTTGTTCTCGGTTATGATTCGATTATTTTTTCAAAACAGAAATATTCTGTTATGTATTAAAGGAAGAAGAAGAAAACATCAATGAGTATACATGTCAATTTCAGCCATGTGCATTGCTCTAAGTGAATTTAACTTTTACTTTGGAGAATTGTAATATCCAAATACAACCAGTAACAAAAATGAATAATAAAATTTTTAATTTGGACACTGGAGTGGTTGCAACCATCTCTCAATATACCTCACAAATTTTAACTTACTAGGATTAGTACATGCAAGTTTAAGATGTCTGGATCTTTGTAAACTCTGACTAACATCGAGAGCAAATACAATGGTTGGAACATGAACTAGACTCTTAGACCTGACCATTAGGATCTTCTTTTCTGTTTCCATTTCCTTAAAAAAGCTAAAGTCAGTTAGGAATATAGACTCTGATGGACCAAAGTCATGTTTACACATCGATTCTGTAAAAGCATAAAATTTGGAAACAAAGAGAGATTAGGATATGGATAGGAAGAACTGTGGATGGTATTACAATGGAAGGAAAGAAAGGAACCTGAAGCTATTCATTTGCTGAATCCATGATGAGTTTAGTTTGTCACACTCTGGGAACATGTGATGACTCGATAAGCAGAGTATCTAACACAGACTTGTAGGGCATCTTGAGCTTGTTTCGAAACATGCAAACACATGGATTACACCCACTGGAACATTAAACAACAGAAAGAGGAATGAATCCATGAAAAACAAGTGAGAAGAACCTGGTTAAAACAACATAGACATATCTCGAAGCGATTAAGGTGTATCTTCGGAGTCTGATACTCTGGTAGAGAGCAGCATTGCTTGACTTTAGCTGAAAATGTTGAGCAAAAGAAGAAAATAGATAGCTGACGTTTAACAAATATAACTAAGAAAGAGTGGACACACCGTTTATTTATCATAATCGTCCCTAGCCATTAAACATAGTACATCAGAATAGAAAACAGAACTGTGTCTGAAACATCTTCACAGGATTTATCACAAATCAGAATTTGTTTTGCTAGAACATTTTCCCAACACCATCTTTTCTTGGGACGGATTCTGAAACATCCATCCGGCACCAATTACCCATCAGAGATGCCATTTGATCAACCTTATCATACAATCCAAGAAGCCCACCAGTGTGTATGAACAATATCTTCCTTCCCTCCCAATTTTTGGGATCTTTGGTGATCTCATTTATCAAACCATACGCAGCTTTCCCACTGGATAAACAGTCGAAAACCAAAATATCAATCTAACTATATATTACGATGCTACTTTGAGAGATTCAAGGGGTAATCACGACCATAAACATTGAACAAGGAAGAACTAGAAAGACTAACATACCTGTAAACAGGATCAAGAATAACACCAGTTGAACTTGCTACTTCCTTTACAAACTTAAGCTCGTCTGACGTGTTCATGGCATATCCATTTCCTTTGGCCTGCAAACAGAACATAACATCAAAAGCAAAACCTGTGTACCTAAGAGAAAAAGCATTTATTACAATCTTCGACCTAGTGGTGTTTGCTAAGGAGCCAAGAGAAATCCCCAATGCGAAATAGGTAACACATAAAAGATTGCAAAGGACGTCTAGTGTTCCTGCAAAAGTAAAAGATAAAAACAGAGAAGCCATGACACTCACATTGTGGATGCTAACAATATCACGAGAGTTAACACCAGCTTGAAGTCCATCCAAAAGCCCTTGGACAAAGTCATAGAAGTAATCAGGGTCATCACAAACCGAGAAAGCATGAACCTGCACGATGAATGAATTTATAACCAGGCCATCTCTCTATTTGACAGTGAGTGATACACCTAAAACCGAATAAAAGATGGGCACACCTTGGCTTTTAGAGCTCCCAACCAAGACCCCAATGAAATACCAGCAATTGTACCACCACTAGCAATCCAAAAGAAAACTAAGATGAGAGTGAAGCAAACAAAAGTAAAAGGCAAGAAAAAATTACAAGGAAAGCAAAAGCAGAACCTGCCACATGCTACCACAATATCATCAAATTTCAGACCATCAGGTCTACTTTTCAGCTGCTCCTCAATTTCCCTTGCTGCTTCGATATAACCCCTAGACGATTAGTGTAATCAGTATTAAAAGGGCTCAATCCCGGTTCGTCAAGCAATCGAGTAATGTCTATTCAATCTAAAACAAGTGCTTAAAACTACACACAGGTTACTACACTTAGCTAGGTTAAAAAATTTCTTATGAGAACGCACTCTCACCAAGTTCCCAAAGAGTTTGATCCACCGACCGGAATAACATACGGTTTTTTACCCTCCTTTTCCAGTTTCTCTTTCAGAGCATTAGTAAGAGCCTATCACAATACCATCACAAGAACAAGTTTTGATCACCAATATCAGGCTCAGTAAAACTACTCATTTCATGTTCTTAGTAAGTAAAACTGACTTAACCTCACTCCCAATGGAAGAATACTCTTCTTTAGAGATGAGATGAACATTAGCTCCAACGAGACGCTCGACAAGGAGATTCCCAACCAATCCAGGATCTTCATCAGCAAGAAGCTGCAAACACACACACACATAAACATGAATTCACGAAAGGGTAAGTGGAGATTTGATCGAAGTAAGGTGAAGAATCAGAAGCGAGACCTTGGAAGTACGAAGAATAAGATGAGAATTGAGATTGAGATAGTTAGATGCGGTGGCTGTAGCACGACAATGATTGCTCTGAATACCGCCGATAGTGATTACGGTGTCGGCGTTTTGATCAACAGCTTCCGCCATTAAGAATTCGAGTTTTCGGACTTTGTTTCCACTCAATTCCATTCCGGTGAAATCATCTCGCTGCCAAATTCGTTAAATACGGTAAGTGAAAGGAAGAAGAGAAGAGAAAAAGAGAGAACAGAGAAGAGAGACCTTGATCCAGAGTTCAGTGCCATTAGGAAGACCAGGAAGATTCCATTTATGGATCGGAGTAGGAAGCTGAAAAAGAAGATGATCAGTGAAAAGTAATCGAATGAGAATTGAAATTGAAATTGACGTACGTGAGCGAGAGAGAAAGTGTGGGAAGGAATCGGAAGAAGATAAGAAGCCCAAGAAGGAGGAGAGTAAGTTTTTTTCGTGAGAAAATCCGCCATTGAAGGTACGGATGTTGCAGACATTCTTCTTCTCGCAAGCTCGAGCTTTACTCTTGAGAGTGTCAAGAATCGTCCTCTCATTGCTTCTTTCTTCTTCAGTTGTTGACTCTCAAATGTTTATCTTTTATGGGCTGAGGCCCATTGATACTCGGGTCAGTCGGGTCGGATCTTTGGGTAGTTCGGATCAATCGGATATGGTTAAAAGGAAATATACAATTTTTTACAATAAAACTTTTGGTTCAATACTGTTAGTTTGATGAAAATATTGGTTAAATTTCGCTAATTTTTGGTTCGATTTCAATAAAAATAAGTAGGTCAATTTTGCTAAATTGATAGAAATTGGTTAAGTACTTCAATAGTATAATTAAGTTCATCATCTAAAACAATAACAATTCCATGATTTATTGTCTTTTGAAATTCATATCCAATATATAAGTTTACAAATCACTTATAAGTCATGGCGACATACACATATGTGATCTTCGCATATAGGTATTGCAGTTCGGTAACGACATCTTTTTTTCTGGCTACACTCATAGGTTGTGTTACATCGTATGTTTGTACATTTTTCCACCGTGTCTGACTTAGGAGGAATACACTCACAAGTTCCATTGTTGCAATATGCTAGACCTTTGACACAAGGCAGAAGATGGCACTCATCGTTTCTTTGACACTTGGCCTCCACCAAATCTTGTCCTGCATATGTATATGCAATGTGTTAGTTCAACATAATTTATCATAAAGAACAAAATGATTATAAGATTAGTTTCCAATCATTTGTTTTTCTCATTTTTTTTCTATGCTCATTCTCTTCTTAATAATATTTTTTGCTTGTACTTAAATATCACATTTAAACAAAAAGGTTAATCCCATTTGGTGTTATAAAAGAAAAACAACCTTTAAAATGTTAGAATAAACGATACTTTTTGAATTTGAAATTTTGTATATCACCTTTTCTATATTAAAAATTAGAGTTGTGTGAAAAATAAATTAACATTTTACAACGATTTCAGTTTACTGTCTCTTTTTATTTTTGTTATAATATTTCGTTCTCATATCAACTTACGACATATTTAAAACATGAAACTTGAACAAATAAGTTTTCATTCTCGGATTTTCAAATAGTATTCTCATATATGTTTCAATGTATCAAACTGAAAAATGAAAAGAGAGTATACTTACGATAGACGACGATAAGAAGAGAAACGAATAACATAAATTTGAAGGAAATGCTCTTCATTCTCCAAGCTAATGTGGTTTTTTTTTTCTTTTACTCTAGTGGTGAAGTTGAAACTACTCCTCATAGGTTTTTATAGTCCATTTTTAGAGTTTGAGTAGGAATATTTGAAGATTTGGTTCCAAAAATTGTAGGTTTAATAAGACTAGTAGATTTTACTACAACTTTTGGAATCAAATCTTCAGAAGCTTATTTCCAAAACAAGCATTAACTTCAGGTTTGATCAGTTTATAATTTGTTTTGTATGTACATGGTTTGGATTATTTGTTGCAAATACTTATGGACCGTTAGAATTATTTTAAAATTTCGTTATGCTAAGGGTTTTATCCCACCAACAATTAAACTATACCATGTCTAGTTAGATTTTCTTTTTAACTGGTACATTTGTGGGTTCTTGGAATCGACCATGTAACCTATCCCATTCCGGGACACCAAAGGGTTCTTGAACAATTAACCTAATTAAATCAAATCAAACCATCATTTAGACTAATAATACTCTCACTATGTACTAACTATTCAAATGAAGACTTAAATCAAACTGGATTCCTATCCAGTTTAGAAAGTCAATACTTTGATATTTTACCGTTTTAGCTAAACCAATATTGACTTATCAAATTCTTCTTCCCTAGAACAAATCATAAAACTGAATTTTCGAATCTTGATAATTGATTGAAAGTAATCTTATTTTGTTATATATTCTAGTGGTGAAGTTGAAGCTACTCTTCATGGCTTTTATTAGTAAGAGATTTTTAGAGTTTGAGTAGGAATATTTGAAGATTTGGTTCCAAAAATTGTAGGTATAATAATACTAGTAGATTTTACTACAATTTTTGGAACCAAATCTTCAGAAGCATATTTCCAAAACAAGCATTAACTTCAGGTTTGATCAGTTCACAATTCGATTTGTATGTACATGGTTTGGATTATTCGTTACAATCGAATTATTTTAAATTTTCTTTAGGCTAAGGGTTTTATCCTACCAATATTGATGAAATTGTTTTAACAATTGTGCAGAAAAACATATCATTCACTCAGTTCCATATAAACAGGGGAAGTATTTCACAAGAATCCCATTGCCATTTTTGTACATTAACAGAGTCAGAATTTAGAAACATTAGATACATATAGACAACAAAGCCAGTGGCAGAAATAAAATCAGTAAAGCTTGTGTTATAACCTCTCACAGAGCCTAGTCCATCGGATTCAAAACCCCTGGCTCTGCTCCTTCACGGCTCTTGCAGCGGCGCTGTACCATGCCGCTACAGCCATTGCACCTGGATCAGGAATTGATGCAAGAATCTCAGCTGATACATAGCTTGATCTCCCGGCCTATCTTCCAGTCCCATAGTCAGTCACATCAAATAAACAAAAAACATACAACCAACACGTAATAATGATCTCAGTGATTGCAATTTCGTAGCAATTAACTAGTAGTCATTAAAGCTCACCTGTGCTTTCATATGAATGGTAGATTCAGCTCCTGCGGTTGCAGCTTCAGCAGACAGAACAAAAGCAGCAATAGGGTCCTCCCTAGCACTCAACTTCTGCTCAAAATCAAAGTAAAGCTCATTACTACTTAACCAATATCAATCTTTAATAACAAAAAGTAACCTATTGATCAGTCACCTCCTCAAGGACTTTTGACGCTGGGATGAGCGCATCTAACATCGTTCTATAACCGGCAGTTGCTCCACCATATTTACTGACAGCAGAGATTGATGACTTGAGTGCTTCAGACCCTGATTTCAAGAGGAAATCAGATTCATAGGCCAACATGTGCCTTTTGAAATAACTAACGACAATGCAAGCAACATATCTTACAATGTTTTGGAGTGGTTTCTGACTGAACGTTAGCTTTTAACTCCGCATATGCTGCCTTACAGAGGAGATTGTAACTGGTTTCATATGAGACAGTGTCATGTCTTATATCAGTAAATGCCAAATGCATGATCAATTTTAGAGAAAGGAAATTGTCAAATTAACTGCGTCGATTTACATTATTCCACTTGTCCCCCCCATGACTCTTCTAATGGATGAACCAATCTCACTTACTGTTTCAGCAGCATCGTTGAGTGGATAACTATAGAAGCGAGAAAGAAAGGGTATAAATTGCAAGTAAACAATCAAGCTACACAGAGGAGAAGAAGATGTCAAATGGAGTTCAGAGTAAAATGACTCACTACTTCTTCATGTCCTCTAGAATAGCTGTTGCGCCTCTACACATCTATGAATGCATGCATAAGATTTAAGACATGCATAAATGCGAAACTTTTGTGTTTTACATATACAAACATTTGAAAAACAGGACTTACTGTTGATCCACAGTCCCCATCACCTACTTTTCCATCCCATTCGTTCAAACTATCCTTTAGATTTATGACTACAGTTGCTGCTGCTTCAATAGCAGCCTCAAGAATCTTCCCTTGATGACTAAGCTCTTGAGGTCGGCATAGAGACTAAAAACAACAAAACAAGTTAGGCAAGTTCTCGTGAAACTTACAGATTATCACATCTCATTAAAACCTTTCTAAGCTGGCTAAATATACGCTTACCTCTTCGTTTTTTGTTGATCGGAAGGGCAGTGGAACGGGGATCTTTGCTGGTGGGCGGCTTCCTGTAGAGAGAGATCGGGCTTGATCAGGAAAAAAAAAAAGAAACTCCAGCCTATTTGAATCTAATACAAGTTCCAAAGGAAATATCACAGACCATCTGTGCCAACTGGCCAACTAGTAGCCTTGGTCGGAGCATCCAAACGCTCTAACATTGACTGGTCAGCCTTCATGATCGATATCGAGAACCCTGAGATGGGAAGGAGTATGAGAGCACAGCACAAAACCAGTGGCTCTACACATAGACACAACAAAAAAAAGTCACCTGCCATATCAAGAGACGTCATAAATGATCCAGTATACACCCTATCAACGGCAAGCCCATATTCCAACTGTAATTTTGGGACTGCTTTTCCAGCAGCAATCATAAGTTCCATTAGAGGGGTACCACCTAAGCTGCAGAACAACAGGAAAAATAATATTATTCACTAATTAAGCAAACTCGTTACCCATAAGCGGGTATCATGGATATAACATTATGGTAATGGTGAAAATGAGTACAAGGATCACCTAAATAGAAAGATGGAATATACAGCCTTACCCATTAACCATCAGAACCACACTGCTACCACGTGTAATTGGAACATAATTGGTCTCCTGCAGTTAGAAAGAATGCATAGGCCAATGAATGAAAAAACGATACATGTATTTTATTAACAGTATCATTTTGTAGATAGTAAGTCAATAACCGTAAAATCAAGATGGTTATGGAAAGAAGAAGCAGAGACAACAGGAATAGTGTACATACTGGACTCAGTATCTGTTGAAGAACATGGGACACTACAGCTTCCACAGGTTGAATGTCGACCACAGCAGCACCAGGCTCCCCATGCTGAGAGAAAGGTTCAAAAATAGCAAGCAAAAAAAGTCAAAATATAGGCAATGGCAATGTGCTCTCACTTTCCTACGGCATAAAAGAAAATAAGAAGGGAAACAACATACAACTCCAAGCCCAAGTTCCATTTTCTCTGGACCTAAACGATCTGATGTAACCTGTCCTGGAAGCGCACAAACAGATAGTGCAACACCCATGGTCCCAACCATTTCAGATGCATGTTTTGCTTCCGCTGCAACTTCTGCTAAAGAAAGACCAGCAGCAGCAGCTGCTCCAGCAACCTATCCTTAACAAAGGATATACAAAATATAATTGCACAAAAGAACCTGCGACTTAGACATCACAGACAAATATAAGAAAATACAATAACAAACAAGATGAGGACGATTGACTGCAAACGCAACTAAGAAATGCTAGCTTAGAGTGCAGATAGAAGGAAAACAACATAGAAGGAAAATTGAGAACCTTATGGACAAGAATTGTTCCCGCTAAACCTCTGCGTCCAGCTATGCCAAGCGGCGGGGGTAGAGCACAATCGTCTCCAACAATCACAGTCTACAAAAGGGATCATGTCATCCTATCTACCAATGCTCTTACCAAATTCTAAACAATATATAGACAGTTACCTCTATTTCGAAACCCTCAGTTTTTGCTTGCTCAGCTGCCAGGCCAAAGTTCAAGCGGTCACCAGTATAATTCTATTAACAATAGTTAAAGAGAAAATAGATCAGCCAAAGACATTGAAGGATAATCTTTCAAAGCTATTGATATATACATAAGAATATGTCTCGCCATGTTTTATTTACCGTGACAACCAAAAGGCATCCTTTTGGACCAGTTACAGCTCGAATCCCCTGGCATTACACAAAGTTTCATCATTTACTCCAAAGACTCAAGAGAAGACAAAGAAGAAGAGTTACTTACAGCTAGGATGGAATCAACAGGTGGCGAAGCAAAAACATCTCCACAAATAGCAGCTGTGAGCATTCCTTCTCCAACATAGCCAGCTTGTGCTGGTTCATGCCCACTTCCTCCTCCTGTTTCAAAAATAGCATTGCATAACACGAAAACAAAACTCAATTAAACATAACTTAGGTTTGGACAAGAAAACTCCAACCTGATATAACGGCAACCTTGTCATAATTTGCAGCTGAGACATCAGCTCTTAGTACAACTTTGATCTGCGAATTCATCAGAAATTCAGAATAAGTTGAGTTTTGCACACATCCATGGAAGGAATCGAAAAAGGCGAAATTTTTATAACCTCTGGAAGACCACCCAAATACTGAAGTCCAGGATAAGTTTCAACGAGACCCTCGATGAACTCTGTTACAACATCTGCAATACACACAGTAACGAGTAAAAGAGCTTATGTTCATTCTCTCTTGAAATTTTTATGTAAGAGCATGCACCAACCAAATCATACAGAGAGCTCGAAACACAAAAGGAAAAAGGATACGACGAAGGATCACGAACCGTTGGGGTTGTTGATGAATTTTTTAGCTGGTGGAACCATGGTGTTAGCTTTCAGTGAGATCAAAGCCTGTCACATGGAAAGAAAGAAAAAAAATTGAGACTTTGAGAGTCAACAATGGCAGAGAGAAGGCGAAGTGAAGAAGAAGAAGTGAAGAAACCCAACTGCTAAACCGAACTAAACCGAAAAATTATGACTTCCAGCAATTAAACCGATAAATGGAGATATTGGGCTGGAGGTGAGCCATCAAGTAAATAAAATAACTTAATTAGTAAGAAAAAAGCCCAAAGCGAAGACACGTGTTCCACGCGTACGGTTCGTCTATTATTATTCTTCGTCTACTTCACACGAAAGAGAGAGAGACAGAGAGAGAGCTCAAAGAAAGAGAGATCCAGAAGAAGACGAACAACAATGGCGTTGCAATGGCTGATTCTGACGTATGTGGTGGCCGCCGAAGTAGTAATCACCCTCGTGTTGACTCTTCCTTACCCTATGCTGCTTAAGAAACGTGTTGTACAACTTATCTCGTTGATTCTCCAACCTGCTGCTTCCATCGTCGCCTTCGCCGGATTTCAGCTCCTCGGTAACCTCCGCTTTCTCTCTATCTCTCATCTAAATTCTCTATTTCCTAATCGGAATCGAATTGGTGTTAATTAAGTTAGGGTTTTGAGCCGTGAGTGATTGATTATGTGGCTTTGGTACCTTTGTGTGTTTTTTGATTTCATTCAGATATTTACTGGAAAGCTGAGCATAGACTATCTTGTTCATCTGAGGTATGCACTGCTACAGAACGTGATCGCTACGAGAAATCTGTAAGTACCTTTTTGACTCTATCACCTTAGTCTTTGATTCTCCTATAGCTGAATTCTATGTTTCTTGAATCTTTTTGTGTAGTAAATTATTAGGTTGTGAGTTTCATTCTGGTTAAAAAAATTTCATCTTTAGTCTGAAGATCAAGATTTGTAATGATAACATCTGAGAATTGGCTTTCATTGTTTAAGGATGTTGTATTGATTAGATATTAGTGTATCAAGGATTGAACAATAGAATAGTCTCCCTCACTTCTTAGTGTCAATTGCATCTTTTTAGGTCTCGATCACCCATTGATGTACTTATATCTCGTTAAATCATAGCTCTAGCTACTGTCAAATAGCAAACATGAGATTGTCTTTATAGCATTCATGGTTCAGTAAGTTTATACAATGTTCTTGTGAATCTGTTGGCGACTGATTCTTGGTTCGCAGTTACTTTTTGTTATGCAGTTGCAAGTTGCCAGAATCAATTTCACATAGTGAAAATTAAAACTCTGATATTTAGTTCATCTATTGTTTGTTCTCTTGCCCTGAAATGTCTCATCTTGTGTGTACTGCAGATCTACAAGGCTCAGAGGAATGTGGTTCTGTGCGCTGCAGGAATTCTTCTCTACTGGTAACTTCATCAGCTATTATCAGTCACTCACCCACAAGGTCTCGTGTTATTCACTGATATCTCTTGTATTCATTGACAGGTGCATCTACCGCATCTGCAAGTACAACAAGGACCTGGAACGCTTGGAGGCAACGGAGAAGAGATACAAGGAAGAGTAATAAATTTCACGAGTATAGGGAGTTGGTTCCTCAAAACCATTATTATATAAGTAAAGCTTTTTTTATTGCATTTTTACATTCAAATATTACTGAACCTGAGCGAAACTATGAGTATCGTGAACAACCTTGCACACTATATGTGTATATTGTCAGTATTCATTCCTTTCTGCATCTTTGATCTATATTTCAAGAACAGCCTCAATTTGTCTGCATGTCGAGAATTATCATCTAAGAGTACAGACGCATAACTTTGTTAACCCACTTGAAGTTGCTTCTCAACCAAACCTCTTCTTGATCATGAACTTCGTTTTGCAAAATGCAGTCACAGAAAGGTAAATGAAACGAAAATCACACAAAGTCATCACGAACGTATCATTACCTTAAAATGGGTATTGATAAAACTCAATTTCTCAGAAGGCAACAAATATTAGTTGGTCAGTTCACAGTTGCATATATTACAAAGAACAAATCCCCAAACTCTCTCAAAGAATCTGGCACATCCTCAAAACACAGACCATTTCAGTTCAGTACGAAGTGATACCTTGAATCTACATGACTCTCCACGTCCCAGAGGAAAGACCCAAACGTCACAGCCTCCAACACAAGCCTCTTCAATCCCTTGAAGCTGATCTTTATATGCTCGTCCTTCGAAGAGTCAATTGTGCCTTGTGGTGTTATCACAATCTCTGGCCTCCCAAACAGTGCCTCCGTATGCTTCTCAATTATCCCAACTGCTTCTCTTGATCTTATTGTAGCGTATCTCTGTAGTGTCTCCCCGTCAAAAGACATAACGTATGTCTTTAACCGGGACTGCCTCATATCACTACTAAAACCACCACTCGCATTGATTCCTCCCACAAAAGAACCAACCTCTTGGTTTGAGGAAACAGCCTGATAAGTCTCTTCCGCTTCTTCGTAGAAGCTTCTCTCTGTCTCTCGACCTGCTTGCTCAATGCTAGTCTCACCTGCATATGACCCACCTGGGAGAATCCTCATCGTCTTCTCGAGCTGAAACCTTTGGTCAATCCGCTTCAGGAAATACCCATACATCACGGAAGCAGCATATACCTGTCCAACTCCAAGTTTGCTTATCTGCGCAACTGCTGTCAGATCATCAGTGCGGTTCTTAAGAATGATGGAAAGATGATTCTGAATCATCTCATAAACCTCAGGCGAATGAAGTCTCTCGAGTTCCCCATCTAGAGTCGGCCAAGTATCAACTCGACCAGACGGATCCGCAGACGATGAGCTTATGGATGGTACAAGTGAAACATTAGCGTCCATGAACTTCTGAACCACTAACGCATATAAAATCTCTTCCAAAGCCCTTCTTCTCTCTTTCTCCTTAACTTCAGCAATTCTCCTAAAACCCCAAGAAACAATCTGATTCACAATCCAAACCTATATAGCATCGGAAGGGTAATAATATCGGTATGTGACAAACCTGTAGAGAACAATGTCTGTTCCAGGAACAGAGGATGCATCTTTGCTCTGTTCCTCAGCGTCTCGATCGATTTGAAGCTGTTCAAGCTGCTGCTCAACAGCTGCTGGAACAAGATGAGGATGGCTCACTAAAATCTGTGACAGAAACTGCCCCACCGGAGACTTCAACTGAAGTGGCGCGATTGAATCGGTTGACGCATCACCAGAAGCAGAAGCTGAAGCTTTAACCACAAAGCTTCTCCGAGATTTAGCACAAGTTGTTCCGCTTTGCAATGGTCTCGAGAATTTAAGAGAAGATTTGTGCTGCATACAGAGAGACAACAGATTCAAATGAGAAATTAGCACGAAGAACCCATAAAAGTTCCATTTTTCTTTTTTGACACAGAATCAGAAGTCTCGAATTACACACGATTATGGGGTAGATTAAGTACAAACAAACATGATTCGGGAAAGCTATTGATGTCTAGGGTTGAGTGAATCAAACGCAGTAGAATGAAGACGTACTTTGAGACGAAATTGAGGTCCGGAGCCGAATCGCATGAAGCGAGGAGAGTTGGGCGTCAATAATATCGACCTTTCGGAAGATTGACGTAGTAAGACTGAAGATTGAACCAAATTCGCCGCCACGGTGTCCATGATTAGCCTCCGAGAGAAGCAAAAATCGCAACTTTGGCCAGAGAGAAAGGAGAAAGGAAGAAGAATCCTAGGGCTAGAAACTGTAGACAAGATGATGAACAAAAGAACCGGTTAGTGGGGATGGTTTATGATTATGACTCTATCTCTTCGAATAATACCACTCACTTTTTTTTTGGATATAATTACGAGAAAAACTCTGGCACAAAAGTTAATCAAAAATAAAATTGTGAATCTTTTAAAAATTAACGAAATATACTATTGCTTTTGCTAGGATTGGATTTATGATTTACAATTTTTTTTTCTGTAATTTAAAACATCTTAATAAAAGAAAAACATACATACCTTTTTTTGATATAGAAAATTTAAATTAATTTTCGTAATTTGTTTAATTTTCTGAAGTTGGGTCATTTAACTCTTTTTTGCTCTCACGGCCCATTAAGTGGGCTTATAGACGACTCAAGAAAACATATATAGCCCAGCAAACGACCCATGAAGACAATTAGGGTTTTCACTTTTTCACACGTCTCTCGCCTTGTAAGAAGAATATCGTCCCGTCGTCTCTCTGAATCTCTGCTTTTCGTGAATAGAAAAGGGTTTTTCGTGACAGAGATGAGAAAGACTCAGCTGTTTGTTGAAAATGAAATATCTGTGAAGCGAAAAACCTTTCTTTTTCAACAAACAGTTTAGCTTTCTCATCTCTGTCACGATAAGAGATCTATGGACAGAAATCTGTAAATTTTTAAAATAAGTGTAAAGGTTTTTCGTTTTTTTTTATTAACGGCGGCGATGATGAAAAAAAGGCCGGACTTACGGCTGCTACCACCGCTAAATGTGGTGGGTAGTAGAATGATGCTAAAGTTTCCCAAAGGGTATATAGCTGAGCCTCCTCTTCTTTCTCATTCTAGATCAAAACCAATAACGCTTCTGTTTCCAAAGTAAATTAAAATTTACCGACTTTTTAAACAATTGCCTATATGAATTATTTTGGTTTTCTTTATCAAAAAATTTGACAAATTGATTGCCTTGTCCAGTTCTGTGTATTAAGCAATTTGGATTGAAGTCAGGAAAAACAATTGAACTACAAAATAATTTGGATTTGAGTGAAAAAAAATATCCTAAATGCAATCAGTTGCAGCAAAAAAATAAAAAAAAAATCAATTAGGAGGACAATTTAACTCATTTCAAAATAGTAAAAAAAATTCCAAAACAATAAAATGTCGAAAAAGTATTTTGTTTTACACCTGCTCTGCTATACTTTTTCTAATTTTACCGTATACATAACTGGTTTAGTTTGGTTCTGATCGGACCAATTGACTCGGTTAATCAAAACCGAAAGTTCGAAAATGACGACAAGAAAAAAACAAAACAAAACAATGAAGAGATGTATTTTGCTGGGCAGGTTTTAAAGCCTGGGTTTAAGCTGTTGTGAAGAAGAAAGAACACAAAAACCCTAAACGAAAATGGAATCGAAAGCAATTTGCTTAGGGTTTCTTCCTCCAAGACTTGGATTTTCATCTCCACATTTACTCTCCCGTTCTCCTGTAAGTGAACTTAACCATCAAAATTTCATTTTTTCCCATTTCGATTCTTCTAAAACCTTATCCGTTTTTTTTCAATTTTCTCCAGGGTTCTTCGACATTTGCAACGCGTCAAAAATTTGATTCCAGACGTAAGTATCTATCTAATTCCTCTTAATTCAGCCAAATTGTAGCATAAAGAGTGATCCTTTATCTTATTTTCATTCTTGATTAAGAAACCCTCCTTTGGAACAAACCGCAATTGAGCCGAGGTCGTGTAGTGTGTTCTTCTTCTAATTCTGAATCTAAGCCTGAGACGAATCACTCGAGTAAGAGTAACTATGCTCGAGCTGAGCTGTTCCGTGGGAAATCAGGTTCTGTTTCTTTCAATGGTCTGACTCATCAGCTGGTTGAAGAAAGTAAATTGGTGTCAGCTCCGTTTCAAGAAGAGAAAGGTTCTTTCTTGTGGGTTTTGGCTCCTGTTGTGTTGATTTCTTCATTGATTCTTCCTCAGTTCTTTCTTAGTGGTGCCATTGAAGCTTCTTTCAAAAACGACACTGTTGCTGGTATGTCAAGTTTTACTACTGCTTTAATGTTTAACATCGGATTATGACTTATATGAATCCTAGGAACAACATAGAGTAGAAGATATCTTAATGGTGTTACATCTGCTATCTGATTATGTTCTAGTGTAGGCTTCTCTTTAAGCCTACCTAACTTTGAGGTTTTGATAGGCTTAGTACCTGTTTTCTTATGTGCAGTATTAGAATCCTTTGATTGATCTTGAATTATTGATTACAATCAAGAACACATGACCTGAGCCTAAGAAAGAACCGAAAAGTTTCCTTGAGATTTGTTCAAGAGATCTCATAGCTCTCCTAAAGCTAAGAGGCTCTTATTTATATGATACTCATTTTGATGCACTCTCTTAATATAATTTCTTGTTGCAGAAATTGTTACTTCTTTTTGCTTTGAGACGGTGTTTTATGCTGGTCTTGCGATATTCCTGTCTGTGACTGACCGAGTGCAGAGGCCGTACTTAGACTTCAGCTCCAAGAGATGGGGTCTAATCACTGGCCTGAGGGGATACCTTACATCTGCATTCCTCACGATGGGTTTAAAAGTTGTAGTTCCCGTATTTGCTGTATACATGACTTGGCCAGCTCTTGGAATAGATGCCTTGATTGCAGTGCTTCCTTTCTTAGTTGGATGTGCAGTTCAACGAGTTTTCGAGGCTCGGCTTGAAAGACGCGGCTCATCCTGTTGGCCCATTGTTCCAATAGTCTTTGAGGTAAACTTATATACTGATTTTGACCATTTTGGTCTTAAGTTTGTCTTCCCATCTTCTTGTCGTCCTTGATGTTGTAGTCTTGTTTTGAGTAACTATGGTTGTGTATGTAATGGCAGGTGTATAGGCTGTATCAGGTGACAAGAGCAGCGACATTTGTTCAGAGGCTGATGTTTATGATGAAAGATGCGGCAACAACTGCAGAAATTACAGAGCGAGGAGTTGCACTAGTTGGTTTGGTTGTGACTTTGCAGTTTCTAGCTGTTATGTGTCTCTGGTCGTTTATCACTTTTCTTATGCGTCTCTTTCCTTCTAGACCTGTAGGTGAAAACTACTAAAATCTCAGTGTTTAGTGACTGTTAGATGTAGCCAAATCCCATCGGGTTTTGTTTTGTTTCTGTGTTCATTATGAGTAATGAGTTGTTGTATTTAGTCACTTTGAGAGTTTGTTGATCTTGAGATATGAAATTGGCTGGAAATGTTATAGAACGATCCTACTTAATGAAATCTTATTGGGGACTTTTGTGACCCTTATCAAAAAGTTTCAGTGTTTGAAATCAAAACATAAGTACACAACAGTAGATGGCTTTGGTCTCACCTTGTGTTTTGGATCTTTTGTATGCAACAAAAGAGAAGTTGAAAGCTTATCCACGTGGAAGATCTGTGCCTCTGATAGGTGTCTTTAACAGTGTGACGTGTCTGTATTGTTTCATTGATGAATCTGTTACATCGTTGAGTGATTCTGAAATAAAATGGTCTCGAAGCTTTTTATAATTTTATCAATATGTGATGTTTATTAATGAAGGTACTTAAAAAAAAAAAGATGCCATTATACTATAACTGATCAACGATTATTGTTGGAAAAACAATAAAATAGGATCTCAAGAGAATTAGCCGCTTCTATAAAAATAGTGAGAGTGACTGAGATCAAGAGAGCCAATCTCAGAAATTAGAATCATATTGTCTTCTTTCTCTTTCGAAACAGAAATGACGTCTCCACTCTCAGAACTCCTAAACCTTGATCTCTCAGACACCAAGAAAATCATCGCTGAATACATATGGTTCGATCCCTAATCATCTCTTTTTTTCGCTTAAATCTATAGAAAAGTTTGTCTATAACTCGATGCATGTCATATAGTTTCTTGATTTTACACACTTGTGATCTTGCATGTCTCTTTAAACAACATTGTTGGTTCTGTTTTTGCTCTTCATGATAACAGGATCGGTGGCTCTGGAATGGATATTAGAAGCAAAGCCAGGGTAATAATAATATCACATTAATTTCTCTCTCTTTATTTTTTTGTATAAAAACCAAACAAAATCTAAAGTTTCTTTGTTAATAGACATTACCAGGACCAGTAAGTGATCCAACAAAGCTTCCAAAATGGAACTACGATGGATCTAGCACCGATCAAGCTGCCGGAGATGACAGTGAAGTCATTCTATAGTAATCTTCTTCATCACTTATTCACAATATTTAAAGAAATTGATATCAAAATTTTCTTTTAAATAATTTCATTTTTGGAATGAATTGGAAAAAAAAAAGTCCTCAGGCAATATTCAAGGACCCATTCAGAAAGGGGAACAACATTCTGGTTAGCTCATATGATTTTTTAGCAAAATATGTATCTGTTTTCTTGATTAGTGGATCTTTCAAATCATTGTTCTTGAATATAATAAATCAGGTGATGTGTGATGCTTACACACCGGCCGGAGATCCAATTCCGACCAACAATAGGAACAAGGCCGTCAAAATCTTTGATCATCCCAATGTGAAGGCTGAAGAGCCTTGGTAAGATATTACATAGCCTTAGGAAAAAGTCCAATTAACTATAACCGAATTTATTTCAGTTTGGTATGTTGTAGTACAAAAAAAATACCATAGTTTGATAAATTCAAAAAAATATATATGTAATATATGCATTGTTTAGAATCTGTTTACTTTAAAATCTATATTTGTAGCATATGCATTGTTTAAAATATATTTAAAACTTGTCTAACATATGCATTGTTTAGGAATAGATTTCAGTTTGGTTGATTCAGTCTAGGACTCAGTTTGATAGTTTGATGTGTTATATATTAGGTTTGGGATAGAGCAAGAATACACATTACTTAAAAAAGACGTGAAGTGGCCACTAGGTTGGCCTCTTGGTGGCTTTCCTGGTCCTCAGGTACACTTATGAGTAAAATCCTCCATCAAAATTCGTACACTATACTCTTAAAACAAGAACAAGTTTCTGATATCAAATATTGCTCATATTGTGTTTGATGAACACAGGGGCCGTACTATTGTGCAGTTGGTGCAGACAAAGCCTTTGGTCGTGACATTGTCGATGCTCACTATAAAGCTTGTCTTTACTCTGGTTTGAGTATTGGTGGTGCCAATGGTGAAGTCATGCCTGGACAATGGGAGTTTCAAATCAGTCCTACTGTTGGTATTGGTGCCGGTGATCAATTATGGGTTGCTCGTTACATTCTTGAGGTAAGAAACCCGTAGATTGACCTATGTCTCTTGTATATGACTCTATGTCCTGTCTCATTTCCATTGTGTTCATTGTGTATTTGACAGAGGATTACTGAGATATGCGGTGTGATTGTCTCATTCGATCCAAAACCAATCCAGGTTTCTTGTGATGATCAAGACTCTTTTTTATGTTTGTAGCTATAACTTGAGATTTTTCTTGAATGTTATTTTTGTTGAGGTTGTTATGTATGGTGGATTAATTAATTAGGGTGATTGGAATGGAGCAGCAGCTCATACGAACTTCAGTACAAAATCGATGAGGAAAGATGGAGGACTGGATTTGATTAAGGAAGCAATAAAGAAGCTTGAAGTGAAACACAAACAACACATTGCGGCTTATGGTGAAGGCAACGAGAGGCGTCTCACTGGGAAGCATGAAACTGCAGACATCAACACTTTCTCTTGGGTATACATGAAACCAAATCATATATAGTAACGTTTTGGTTTATTATCTATCTTTTATGTAACTTTTATCCCTCTGAGTGTAGGGAGTGGCGAATCGTGGAGCATCGGTGAGAGTAGGAAGAGATACGGAGAAAGAAGGGAAAGGGTATTTTGAAGATCGAAGGCCTTCGTCTAATATGGACCCTTACTTAGTTACCTCCATGATTGCTGAAACCACCATCCTCTAAGGTTTTTGTTTCTTTGTATCTTCTTCGAATTTCGGTTTTGAGACTTTTATTGCGAATAAGTCACTGAATGTTATGCGATTTCGATTGTTTAATCCGGTTGTGGTTCATTTTTAAGCCAAAACTTGTCGTTGAACTTGAATAATTTGTAACCACCATCCTCGGCTAAGCTTTTTGGTTACATTTGAAGTAGCTCAGTGAAGGGGGGTTTGCATTTGTACCATAGCATCCATATTAGATTATGTTTGAATAAGGGCATTGACCAGAAAAAAAAAAAGTTTAAACGGGCCTGAGTTGTTTAGCCCATATATCAACTTTACCGTCCGTTATTGTTCTTTCTCCTTTCTAGTTTTGTATGTTGTGTTGGTTCAAAAGAAAGGATGATTGCTTGAGAGAAACAAGAAACATGTATACATAATTACATATCTAGAAGTTAGAATCCAATTACACGGATTCAAATTCGAAGCCTTGTCTATGCAAAATTTGCCCAAAACATTGATTTTTCTTTTCTTATACTCAATATTCAAGCTAACTCATAGAAATTGATGATTGATTCCGGAATGTTAATCAGGTTATAACTTATAAGCATACATACTTTTTTACGGTGAAAGCATTAAAAAAAGGTATAAGATTATACATCGTAGTCAATTCTATACTTGGTTTTTTCTTTTTTACTTAACGATGTATATACTTGGAATAATATGGGCTTATATAGAGGGATCTAATTAAGAATTAGACGTATCTTGTGGGCAGGTAAAGTCAGTAGATACGTTCACGAAATTCATGTAAAATATAACTAAATAAACTTCTTGATTGGTCCACCTGCACGCATATACTTTATCAACTACATATATGTATGTTCATGCATGTTACGTATATTTTTTTTATTGTAAGCCATCACAGAAATAAACCAAGAAAAACAAAACCAACTAGATAAAGTCATTTAATATTTTCATCTTTTACGAGAAAAATAAAATTATAATTTCTCGAAACTATCTAACACAAATTCTCTCCGACCAATGAAGAATACTCAGTTTTTTGTTTTCTCTTTTTCTTTGGTCTTTCACGAGCAAATAAAACTTATAATTAATGGTATTTGGTGAGAAGAAAAGGAGCCAAACCACATGAAAATAAAATGTAAATATTAATTGTAGTTGTCGTTTCGTTTCGTGTAACGCCCAACCATGTATCGTAGCACGTTACGACTTCTTTTTGTTGCTGTATGTGTAAATGATCTAACCTAATACTACTATTGCAAAGAAATAAAACTATTCCTTTGTCATATATACCACTAAATTCTAGGAATATTTGACACATAACCACAAACTTTTACAACCAAACCGAGAAATATATAGGACATCTATTAAAAATACCAGCAGATCTCTACCAAAACTTATTAAACAGAAAATAAAAACGTTACTCATGATTTTGGACCTTGTAAATAAATAAACGATATTATTAGTCATGATATGCATCGACAAAAGACCTGTTATTTACTACAAATAACTAAGCATTACACTTGAGATTTGAGAAAGTGATATTTCCCCCTACACAAAATTTATGCTTTTGAATAATTTGGTCTATATAGTTTCTAAGTTTACGATCAAATATTTGATAAAATGCGCATGCGAAACTTATATATCATCTAACATGGTCCCGGACAGTAGAGGATAATAGGGCCAATGTCGAGAATTTCCTTAGATACAAAACAAAAGTAAAGAAGGTCCTGTAATTATAAATACAGAGTGGCCGAGACAGACACAAAACGAAAGAAGATTTATTTCAAAAACTTTAATGTAATCAAATGTGGTTGTGAATTGTGATCATCTTCTAACATGTTACGGTCCTACCAACTCTCTCTACCCACCCTTTCTCTTTTTCAATACTATAATACTATCAACAACAACTTCAATCTTATTCTCCATATAGTTTAATATTTATTAAGTCAGTGAAACTAATATGCGAATAGTAATAAGAATTATAAGGCTTTGAATCGATGTTGCGGTCAACATGGACTAAACCACTTTATTTTTGAGATATATAGTAATCTGCCGCGGATCAAATTTGTTTCGTAAAAACGATCCGTACCAGATTTCTTCTATTTCTCTCGGTACACACCACTACGAATTATACTTTATGAATGGTAAATAAAAACGGTCTAATCCAAAAACGGAATTGTCCATCCCAACCGCCGCAACCCTAAATTATGAAAAAATCTTTAGACAAATCCTAATTAGAGTATTTAGACCAATTTATTCTGTTTTTAGTATATTTTTTTAATTCCAATTAGAAAAAAAAAAGCAACAAAACATGGGAAAAAGGAGAAGAAGAGGATTAGGCTGTTGACTGCTTTCACTCCTTTTACAGCTTTGCTCTTAAATAATAAAGCTTTCATTTTAATCGTCTCTCTCTCTCTTCTTCTTCTTCTTCTTCTTCGTATTCTTCTACAAGTTCTTCTCTGAATCGTTACAATGCGAGTCTTCTTCCCCAACTCGTCAATGGCGATTCTCTCTGTTTTCCTCTCACTCCTTCTCCTCTCTTTCCCTCTTCCATCATCTCAAGATCTCAACGCCGACAGAGCCGCTCTTCTCTCTCTCCGCTCCGCCGTCGGAGGCCGTACATTTCGCTGGAACATCAAACAAACCTCACCCTGTAACTGGGCCGGTGTCAAATGCGAGAGTAACAGAGTCACAGCCCTCCGTCTACCCGGCGTTGCTCTCTCCGGTGACATTCCAGAGGGTATTTTCGGTAACTTAACTCAGCTCCGTACACTCAGCCTCCGTCTCAATGCTCTCTCTGGCTCACTCCCTAAAGATCTCAGTACTTGCTCTGATCTCCGGCATCTGTACTTGCAAGGAAACAGATTCTCCGGTGAGATACCTGAAGTTTTATTCAGTCTCAGTCACCTCGTGAGGCTTAATCTCGCTTCCAATAGTTTTACCGGAGAAATCTCTTCAGGTTTCATGAACCTCACGAAGCTAAAGACTCTGTTTTTAGAGAATAATCAACTCTCTGGCTCAATCCCTGACTTAGATTTACCTTTGGTTCAATTCAATGTTTCGAATAACTCGTTGAACGGATCTATACCTAAGAGTCTTCAGAGGTTTGAGTCTGATTCGTTTCTACAAACTTCACTTTGTGGTAAACCGCTTAAACTTTGTCCTAATGAAGAAACTGTACCGAGTCAGCCTAGTTCTGGTGGAAACAGAACACCACCACCGAGTGTTGAGGAAAGTAAGGAGAAGAAGAAAAAGAGTAAACTTTCCGGTGGTGCTATTGCCGGGATTGTGATCGGATGTGTTGTTGGTTTCGCTTTGATTGTTTTGATATTAATGGTGCTTTGTCGGAAAAAGGGTAGTGAGAGATCAAGAGCTGTTGATATCTCAACAATCAAACAGCAAGAAACCGAAATTCCGGGAGATAAAGAAGCGGCGGATAATGGAAATGTGTATTCGGTGAGTGCTGCTGCAGCTGCGGCGATGACTGGAAACGGAAAAGCTGGAGAAGGGAACGGTCCAGCGACGAAGAAGCTTGTATTCTTTGGTAATGCGACTAAGGTTTTTGATCTTGAAGACTTGTTGAGAGCTTCTGCGGAGGTTCTTGGGAAAGGAACGTTTGGGACTGCGTATAAGGCGGTGCTTGATGCGGTGACGGTGGTGGCTGTTAAGAGGCTGAAGGATGTGATGATGGCTGATAAAGAGTTTAAGGAGAAGATTGAATTGGTTGGTGCGATGGATCATGAGAACTTGGTGCCATTGAGAGCTTACTATTTCAGCAGAGACGAGAAACTTCTTGTCTATGACTTCATGTCTATGGGAAGCTTATCAGCTCTCTTACATGGTGAGTTTATACCAAAACGTATGTTAGATTGTGAAGTTTCTTTCCTTTATACCGAGTTTGGTTTCTTTTGAGGCTATTCAATGCTTTTAGTGACTATAGATAGGCTTGAATACATTTAGATTATGGTTAAGTTTAGTGCTTAATCTCTTTGATCTTGATCCTTAACATCGACATGGTTTACATAATAACTTTGTATAGATTCTGTGAATTGGTGGGGACAATGTGTTTAACATTGGATGCTTTGATCTATGAACAATGATTACTACTCTAAGACTTTGCTTGTGTTCTCTTTAGTTTCTATAATTGTCTTTTCTCTGTTAACAGGAAACAGAGGAGCGGGAAGGAGTCCACTAAACTGGGATGTTCGATCAAGAATTGCTATTGGTGCAGGTCGTGGTTTAGCTTACCTTCACTCACAAGGCACTTCGACATCTCACGGCAACATCAAGTCCTCAAACATCCTCTTAACGAAATCCCACGACGCTAAAGTCTCAGACTTTGGCTTAGCCGCCCTTGTGGGATCATCTGCAACAAATCCAAACCGTGCTACGGGTTACCGTGCACCAGAAGTAACTGATCCGAAACGCGTGTCGCAGAAGGGTGACGTGTACAGTTTCGGAGTGGTGTTGCTTGAGCTGATCACGGGTAAAGCTCCTTCGAACTCGGTGATGAACGAGGAAGGAGTTGATTTGCCGAGATGGGTTAAATCGGTGGTGAGAGATGAGTGGAGAAGAGAGGTTTTTGACTCGGAGTTGCTTAGTTTGGCGACGGAGGAAGAAGAGATGATGGCGGAGATGGTGCAGCTAGGGCTTGAGTGTACGTCACAGCATCCAGACAAGAGGCCGGAGATGTCGGAAGTGGTTAGGAAGATGGAGAATTTGCGACCTTATTCTGGTTCAGACCAAGTGGACGAAGCTGATTAAGTCAAAGATTGTTAATTGTTGAATTGTTAATTTATTTAATTTTAATGAAATGGTTTGGTTGGGGAGAAATCAGGTTTTAATTTAATTTTTAATTTTTGACCCAACTTGTCAAAAAGGAGATGGGGTTTTAGTGGGTAACTCTGCTGGCATTTGCAGTTGTTTGTGTTGGGCGTGGAGGATTTGGTGGTGATTTGTAATTATTGTTGTTGCTTCTCTTTCTTAAATCTATTCTCTAAAGTGTTACTTATCATTTTGTCTCTTATGTTACATGTGAGTGACTTTATATAAAGTTGTATTACAATAGTAGTGGCAACTGGCAAACGCAGTTGGTCAGTGTTTTATGAAAAAGATGTGTTCATTTTTTCGAACAAATACAAATTGTTAGGATTTAAAACATTTTTTGGTGGCAAACGCCTTTATCAGGCAGATTTGATGATGTGTTTGATAGGTTAAATAGTAGTGTCCTTATATGTTTGAAATGAGAAAAATTAGTTTAACGTTGGAGTATTAAATCACCGTTTAATTTGTTCATTATTATGTTGTTTCGGTTCCGTCTATTTCGCACTTGTTCAGCTTGTTTTGGTCATTATGGTGGATGGAAGTTATATGTAATTTTATCAATACCAAAAATGTAATGGTTTTGTCAACATGTCTTATCAATATAAGAACATGCTTATTATTATCTTTTGCTATCAAAGTGACCCACATCTAATTTAGTTTTGATGGAGAGATAGCCAAAAATAAACACTTAACACATGATTTATAAAAATGAATTGAATGAATACCTAATTTGCTATTATGGAAATGTGGACAACTCTTTTAATATTGGGATTGTCCAACCATTTTGAATAATTTTGTTTTGGTTCACAAAAAGCCACTATGATTTTTTTTGGCTTGCAAACATTGACAGCTTTAAGAGTAAGGCATTTAATGCAAAAGGTATAAATAGGTAAGAATGGGTGGAACTGCAACAGTACTAAGGCTGCTATAATTGTATGACTCTTTTAGAGAGGTCCCAAAGGTACACATGATAGAGAGGGACCATAAAGAGATATTGGTTTCAAGAGAAGACGACATTAAGATAGTGATGATTCTATTTTATGTGCGTTGTCTCTTTACCTACATTTGCGGTTGATGCGGCTGCTAATTGCCCATACAAACGCAAACCGCAATCGCTATCTGTTTAACAAGATTGGGTGTATGTCCCAGTAGCATGATAGGTTTAAAACTTTGGTTTGGAAAATGTATCTCTCGTTCAGAATCTATGAAAAGATGTGACAGAGACAAATTGTAAATATATAATAAATAAATAATGCACAATGAGATCTTCTTCTTTCACTCAGTTTACTTAGACAACATTTCACAATCCTTCTGTGAAGGTGGAACGCAATAGCCTGAGAGACCATGTCCATATATGTTAAACCACAAATCCAAACAAATATCAAACCGCAAAACACCAATAACCGCATCTGCGGCTGCGTTTATGCGTCCAAATATATGTTTTCCTTTTCTTTTCCTCTGTTTTTCTTCCTGTCTCTGCATTAAGAGTAAACTCAATATAAAATCAGTTTGTTATAGATATCACCGAATTAGTAATCAATGAAGAATGACTTACATGTACAGACAAACAAGTTAAATTCATTTGTTTGTTATCTTCGATGCAAACTTGGTTGGGTTTCATCTTTGTGACCTTTGGACATCAGATTATAGTTGATATATGCCAGCTGCGAGAGATTCTTCATACCGTAAAAAGAGCGAGTCAGAATACTAAAACTGGTTCTTCTCTCTTAAGAACATTTTCAAATTCTACTCAAATCACTTGCCATAATGATACAAATACAAGCAAGTTCTTGACTTGAATTAGGTGAGGCACAGCCCACAAGTTCATAGACAACTAATCTATAGTCGAAGGATTCTGCAAGTCTGTTATAAAGCTAACAACCTATGTTGTACTTGATTGAAGTGAGAACCTCATACAAGGCCATCCTTGCAACTTTTCTCAGGACCCAACTTATAACAAGTAAAGTTAGCAGCAAGATCTCAATCCTAAAATGAAACTTGCAAGGGAACTTCTACAACTGTCTAAGACTATGATCAATGACAAGGGATCTTAGGGAGAAAGTCATGATACAATACCTTGAACGAGAAATTATTGAATGGGTAATTTTCAGAGACACCAGTTTCGAACTCCGCAGGTCCGCGAGGTATATCAACCTGCGTACCATCATTGATCCAATTCAGGGACATTACACATCTAAAAATTTAACGTTAATATTTCTGATGAAGAAAGAGGGTGGATCAGCAGATATTACCCCTTCGTCATGACGATTGCTTACGCGACCACTACTGCCACTCAAGCTGTCACCGTCACTAGAATCTTCATTCTCATTGGTTGGAAAACATTGCTCATCTGAATAGTTCCACGAGTAGCGACTCTGAAAGTAACTTGTGTCAAGAGCATTTTCTGAATCCGGCACAAATGCAGCCTAGAGGAAACAACCAATAAAATAAAATAAAAAGAAAAAACATGAGTACGGGATATGCAAAGATTATGACTTTTAAAGTAAAAAAAAAAAATGAATTCACCTTCTGTTGTGCTAGAGTGTTCCAGTTAATGTCTTTAAAGAAGATGTGCTGTTTGACCTGGGTCATGACACTACACATTACAATTATTTGAAATCAGTCATAAAAAAAAAGACAATAATGTCACCTCAGCCGCCCCTCTAGCTCCAAGTCTCTGATGGGGATCTTCCGTTAATAACCTGGATTAAGCACATGACACGACGTTACGGAAATTAATACTCGTCTCTTCTTCTCAATTGGGTTATAAGCTGATCTTGAATCAAGCGTCAAAATAGGCATGACTCAAGCAAGACATGAGAGGAAAAGGATTGCTTATTGATGTTTACGACATAGATGCTGACAAATTTTGAAAGAACTATTTTAAGTACACATACATGACTGGACAGAGAAAAATCACTTACCGATCTATCAAATCACGGGCTTCATGGCTCATATCTTCAGGAACACGAGGCCATTGTATATTACGGTTGAGAATATTGTCAAATATTTGCTAGATACCAACAAAGAAGATGCAGAGCAAATATCAGGGAATTGGAGAGCGAAAACTAGATATTAAATACTCTGTAGCAACATATGAAGAAGTTAAATGGAAGTGTTTGAAAGTTAAGAGGCCAATAAAACAAACATGACATTTGATGATCAGCCAAAACTAGAAAATCAGTCTCTAAAATCTTGAGAAACCTCTTTTTCCTCTAAAAAAATTAAGGACAAGAACGAAGCAATATGTAGTCACTGACCTGAGGATGGTCAGCATTGAAGGGCGGAATCCCCACAATGAATTCATACAATATGATGCCAACAGACCACCAATCCGCAGTTGCACCTGAACAGTTATGGAAATATATCAGTCTTTACAGTTTTGGTATGTGAGAAAGAGAATTGAATATCTATAACTATAGTTAGACAGGCTGTAGAGCAACAATTTAGTATGAATCTGAATGGCCTAAAGTTGTGAATAAGCTATATATTCAAGCTTTCTACTTACACCACCAGATAAGTAGAACTGTAATCAACTTGATATACCACACATCTTGTTATTCAGATAACAATTGCAACCTAGGACCAATCATTTTTCTATCAGCCCAGCACCAATTTCTACTCAAAAGTAAGATTTGGAATAATAGAGAGAAACAGACAACAAGATGAGAAAGAAATGTGTATGCACCATGTCCTGTCCCCAAAAGAATTTCTGGCGCTAAGTAGTCAGGAGTGCCCACCGCAGACCGTTTATGCTCCAATGTCGGCAATTTTGGTTTCTCCTCAACAAGCAGCGACGTTGCACTGGAAACTGGACCAGAGAGATCATCGGTGCTGTTGATGAGACCAACTTTTGAAAGCCCAAAATCTGTCAACTACTCAGACGAAATAAAAAGTACCATAAGATCTACAAGGAAGCATGGTTCTGATGATTGATCCATGAATTATATTTACAGACTCATAAATGCAGAGGCTAATTGTCCGTGTGGGTTTTACGAGCTTCAGAAAAGACCATATAATCGCCAGAGCATCACATTGCATGACATCAACAAAACATTCTGAAGGCCTGATAATTCAATATAAATTCCCAAATGGTTAGTACCTTAACATGACCATCATGTGCAATCAACAAATTGTCAGGCTTCAAATCACGATGCACAACCCCCTGAGAGTGTAAATATTCCAAAGCAAGGACCTGACACGAATAATCAACACTATATCACAACATCTAGATAAAATCATCTTGTTATTATGACATGATCTGTGAGAGTATTACACACTTACAACTTCTGCAATGTATACACGGGCATTAGTTTCATCCAAGCAACCTACTTTTCTCAACATTGAATAAAAATCTCCTCCATTGAGGTATTCCATCACAAGATACAGGTTTTCGCTACAAGTAAAAGAATAGAAGAATCGAACCTGGTCAAAAAGAAGGTTACGTTAGCATAAAAAAATCTCTGCAGAGGACAAAATATGCATAAAGCTAGAACAGCTGACCACAAAGGGATTGCGGGCGTTGATCAAAATATCTCGTTCAGCAAGTATACTTTCCACCGCATTCTTGCGGATCATATCGGCCTTCCTCAGAACCTACAGAGTATGACAGTCCCCAAAATTTTTTTAGGAAAACAGTTTGACTGATTTTGCCAACCAAGGCACCCTAACTGCACAAACAGAATCTTTCACAAGAGTCACAGAAGCAAAGTGAACTGAAATTTAGAACACCTTAATTGCAAATAGGTCTCCTGTTGTTTTCTTACAAGCCAAAATAACATGCCCAAAAGCTCCCGCACTAATATCTTTTACGATCTTAAAATCATCTATGGATGTGCGGTCCCGCGGATGTACTGGGCTGGTCCGCAAGCTGTGAATAACATCATCTTCAAAAGGATCATCTTCATCAATTATGGTGCTTGATAGGTCAACTTTTTCATCACCCAGAAGCTCGCACAGCTGAAGATACTTTTCCCTAAATAATAAAGAAAAGAATTCATTCAATACATTCATAGCCTGAGCTATTCTTGCCTCAACTGACAAAAGAATAGTTCTGGAGACCAGAATACATCTCCCAGAACACTTGCATTTTAAGCAAAGACAGCACAGGGTGAGATCCGAAACATATATTTAAGACAAAAGGGGTACCAGGAACTCACCGTATCAACTTTTCTATGCGTGTACCAAAAGTTTCTACTATAAGTGCATCAAACTTTCTGCGGTCTATGACAACCCTCAAGTCTTCAAGACAGGAAAGTAAAAGCTGAATAGATTGATCATCAACTGAAATGGCATTTGCTGCGCATCTTGCAATGTCAGCAAGTTCACTCATCTGCATCATCAGTTATCCAGGTTCTATTCATCAGTGCGGATATTAAATAAAAGACTAGGAAAATATGAGCATAGAGCAGAACCATTACAAACCTGTGGGAAATCATCCTGGTCATGGAATGTACCCTTGCCTCCTAATAACAATTCAATTAGATCGGGTCTAGGGGTTGGAATAGGGGATCTAGGAGTCATGCTACCGGCAGATGAAGTAGTCATCCCTTGATCAGACTTGGGACCAAAACGAGTTCTGCATGACATTGGTAAACATCTCATATCATCCATGAAAACTGAATTATCAGCCTCCGGAAAACAGTCAAGCATGTCCTCCGAGCCTCTTCGCGACCAATCACTTAGCTTTGGGGAGAGAACATCAAATTCTTCGGTAAAGCTCGCGTTAGATATTTTCATACCATCTGGGCTTTCTACCGCTGCTAGGCTATCCTTTTGTATGAAGTTTTCTGTTATCCGTTCAAGAGTTACAGCAACTGCCACCAGCCGCTCGTCAACACTCACACCCTTTTGGTCGTATTTATCAGCCAATGCACAGATTCTAGAGTGATCTTCCACATGGGTGGTGGGAACTTCCTCCTCGCATATACGGCAAATAATTGAACTTTCCTCACAAATAGATGACTGATCCCCCCAATAACCCCAGGAAATATTGTGCCGATTCTTGGACATATGTTCCTGGGACAATTTTGCGGAAGAAAAGTCTGGCAGCTTAGCAACAGCCATATCATCAGTTATAGCTACTCGCGTTTTAACTACCTGTGGAGGTTCAACTTCGCTATCATTCTGCTCTTTAGATACTGCATCTTCTTTTACACCCTTCGATGCTGGAGATGGAAGTCTTTTCCAAGAAGACATTTTATCGATGTTTGCAGGCGATTCAGAATCCTTTGACGTTTCATTGTACGGAGAAGCGAGAGGAGCTGGACGAACAACAAAGCCCTCGTTCCAATTCAAACCACGCTGCTCCTGACTATAAGCTTTCTTGGTGGATGGTACCTTGAAGGCATTGGCAGTACTTGAACCACTCCCGTCCCTAACCTCTTCAGTGGGGACTCTTTTATCGGCAGAATGCAAGACTCTTGACTGACGTAGTTGTACGGCATCTTCCTCCTGCCCCCAACTTTCCTTATGAAACTGAAGTAATCTGGTACATCTGGTAAGGATAAAAAGCATCCGAGTGTGAAGCTGCTTGAGCACGCCCGGAGGAAGCTCTTGACGTCTATCATCTAAGTCTTGTACTATGCCCTCACACTGAAGCCAGAACTCTCCCGAAGTAGTCTTAGCACAAGTCTCTGCCAAAACCAACAAGTCTTCAATTGTTTCCAGCAACTCAGGATGACTTTCTTTGTTTTTATCATAACTATCCAACAGGTCCCCACCAAATGCAAAAAGGTCTGAATTTACTTCTTCCTTTGCTTTATCAAATTTGGTTCGAATTAGATTCAAGATTTCCTGCACAAGACAGATGATTAGAGAATGCATGGAACAGATTTAAAATGAAATTAACACAGAAAAAGGAGCCTCAAGACTACCTCCAAGTTATTCGACCTACAAGACTTCCATAATGGAAATGGACAAACACCTTTCGAGTTCAGCTCATGAGAAAAGCTCTTGATGTCACCAGGAAACCTCTTTCTTGGAGCACTGGTCATACGAAGTAAAGCTTGATAACGAGGCGATTCTGACTCTTTTGGATCTTCCAATTCATATGAATTCTAAAAAGATAGACGTCAAGTCACCAAGGTCACATAGAACTGATATCACATACTCTTTTTTTTTTTAGGTAAGGAGAAAGGAATACCTCTGGTGTGCAAACTTCTGAGCTTTCTACAGGGCCAGATATGCTAGGTGATACCTTAAATTGACCTGCTTTGTAACACCAAAATCAAAGTTACACAACAAATCATCCAACAACATGATCAAGATAATTTTGAGCATCTGAAACCATACCAGTTCCTGATGCCATCAACGCGGGATTGCTGCTCCTTAGCGGTCCAATATCATGAGATATGTGATCAAGTTCTAGCTTGCTACTTCCTGCTTCCTTCTTCGACAACTTGTAACACGGTAAGACCGGAATTGCATTATCATTCCCAAAACTGAAAAAACTTTCCTGTGGCAACGGACCAGACCTCGTTTTGATTCTATTCAAACCCAAAGATGAAGCCATGATAGGCGAAACCGACGCTGGCGATTCCTCCTTCACGTCAGACGGCGCCGGCGTTTCAGTAATTGGTTTCTTCGCCTCAGAACCAGAAGTTGACAAGTTCGATTTGCCGAGACTAGAAGACTGAACTTCGAACGAAGCTTCTTTACCCTTTGATGAACCATCCTTCTTCGTATTAGGGCTCCGAGTTTCCTCTTTAGAATTTGATTTCGGTTTCTTCTTATCGGATCCACTCGGAGAATTAGAGCCAACCGATCGTGGACTGTTATTGCTATTGGGACTAGAAGATCCTGATTTCTTCGAGGAGAAGAAGAGTTTGCTCTTGAACACCATTTTTGACTTTTCTCCCAAGAGATTTCAAACCTAAACCTTACCACAACAAACACACTACAGCGAAATTCCAAACTTCCATCTCCAAATCAAAAGCAGAATCTCTTCTTGCTATGTCTCTTATCTTCAATCTCTGTTTAGATTTCAAAACCTTGAGAAAATTCAAAACAAAGCTTTCGATGAATCGACGAAGAAGACGACGGACGTAACTGTAAGTGGGACACTAATCCTTTATTAAAGCCTAAAACGAAGAAGATTAGGGAAAAATAATAGTCAAACCTGTTAAAGACGAAACTTGACTATGATTAAACGTTAATGACTTTCAACTGAAGATTAAGGACTAAGGACTGCATTTTCTTATTTTATATGCATAAATGAGTAAAGTAGATAAGACTATGAATACATTTTCTTGCAGATTTAGTCATAAATGAATTTATTGTGACTTAAGAGTTTTAATTTCTTGGAAAAAAATAGAAAGAAATTTATAGTTTTGAATCTTTTGATTGATATTATTATATTGAAGTTTTCGCGGGTATTTTATACATCTGAATTAGTAAATCTAACTAATTTTTCAAATTTTAATTACCGTTGAGATTTTATATATTTATACTAAATCGAGTAATAATTTACTATATACAAAATTTATAAAGTTATAGTTTTAATTGATAGAAGAATATTTTGCGTGTATTTTTGTTTATAATTGAGTTAATCAATCCAACTAATTTTAAACATTTCATTACCATTGAGTTGAATCGAGTAATATATATATTAATTAGTTTTGATTAATATTAGAAAATTTTGTGCATATTATTATTTTTATCTGAATAACTAAATCTAAAAAAATTTCAACACTGGTGGAATTTGATATATTCACATCCACTAAAGTAATAATTGTTAGATACAAAGTAAAAAAATTATAGTTATATTTAATGTTAGAAGATACATCTATATAAATGATTTGATATGGACCCAATAAATAGTTTTGTAATTATTTACTTCTAATTAAATTAATTCAGATTTTATAATAGCAATATGTTAAAACTTGTGTTCAACATTCTCTCCTTTTGTTATTATTATTATTTTTTATCTACAACCTATGTAAAATTAGTTATCAACTATTAATTAAAATATCCTAAAATATTAGTATAAATTTTTAGAAAATATCTATAAACTTTAGATCTTATCTCATTAAATAATTTTTTTATCAAAAGCTTCTGGACCTCATAAACCTCAAGACAAAAACAAGAATACCTTTCAGACGATTAGCTTCAGGATGTATCACCACCTCCTATTCAGAGTTTGGTTTTTGAAGATTTTCAAATAGATCTAATCGTACGAAATTTGTAAGGAGGTGCACATGCATAGGGTTAGGCCGGATGAGATTGTGCTGAAGCTCATCGACCTCAGCAAACAGAAAAACAGTACTCAAGGAAACTGGTACATATCCATTAGTCCCTACCTTTTCACCATTGCTCACATGCAGATCCTCTTGATACTATGACGCCATAACAGTCACCTTCATCAAGAAGTCGATGGAGAGCCGCAGTATGAAACCTGCTGTCGAACTGATAAAGAGATGCGGTCATGCGCCGGAATATCTCAAAGTTTGGCTCAAAATTTCTAGTATACACTATGTCTCTTCGTGGCCTTCCTCATTCAAAACAGTCCCGGTATAAACTGCCAAGCCAGCATAGTGTACTGTATCAAGCTCTTTTAGCATCTTTTTTGCAGAGTTAATGGCCCAAAAATACCTAGAGCGATCTTCTTTATTCTGAATATCCCGAGCACTTCCATATTCGGTGTTAAGCTTGTTGATGACTCGAGAAATAGGATCGGAATATGACATGATCAAAGAGAACATGCTCTTGTTCTTTCCTACAACAGCATCAAGGGTCTTAAGCTCGTTCTTAAGAAGCCACATTTTAATATTCAATCTGCGGCCAACCATCTCCAAAGATCAACACGAGATAAAACTGAGAAAGCCACATTTTTAAAACAAAATATAGCCCTGCGGTGTACCGTGATAATGAACTATATAATTTTCTCTATCTCTATATTTTCAAAAATGAACTTAAAATACACTAATCCTACAATATATAGATATATACATATATATATATATTTAAATAAATAAAAATTTCATATATGTAAAAGAAAAGTTTCAAAATAAAAAATTCAATTTTTTATTTAATTAAAATATAAGTCCGCGATGTACGGCGGTTTAATATCTAATAATAATAATGACTGGAAATCCGATTGGGCCATAATAAGTTATTAATGGGCCATCATAAGTCATACTTTTATTTCGGCCGTTCGATTATGCTGCGATTATAAAGCCATACACTCTCTTTCTACCTCTCTCTAAAGTTTTTTTTTTAAATTTATGATGCATATAATATATATAGTTTCACATTAGAGATTATTATTATTATTAGGATTTAACCCATTATTACAAAGTAAAAAAATCATCTTTTCAAGTCTCTTTTTGTTTATTACCACACGATTCATCTTTTTGTTCATAGGCGGCTAAGCGGCCTTTTTTTAGAACAGGGATTTTAGTATCATCAATTATTGCTATATGGTATATTTTTCATTCAAAATATATTTTTAGTCATCAATCTTAGCGGTTAAATAAACTATATAAAAGTAAAAGTAAAGATATACAGTTGGTTTAACGTGTTTGTAAATAGATTTTGGAAGTGGTGGTAAAAAGCATATTTCAATGGTAAAAAAGTGAATGGGTGTAAAACATATTTTTAGTGGTAAATTTTATAGTGATTTGTAAATATTTAGTGGTTTGCATATAAATTTTTTTTCTGAAGAATGTATTTAGGACGTGTTCGTTTTAGTGTCGCTGCGACACACATCGGCAACACAAAATTTAAAGGAAAATAGAGGGTTGTCGCTGAATTTGTATTTAACAGAGAAGAAGAGGGTTGTCGCTGGGTTTCTTTTCTAAGAGAAAGGTGGTCGCTCGAATTTTCAGCGGCAACAATTTCAGTCACCGCGTCTCCGAAATCATTACTGGCTTCACCTGATTTTCACCACATGTGTATTTTTTTGAGTCGCTCTCACCTGTTGCAGCGGCAACAAAAAGAACAGGCCCTTAGTTAAAATATTTTTATATCCGCATGTTTAAAAACAAAAAAAAAAGAGATAAAGACTATAAAAAGAAAAATTTTATTCAAATTTTTTTGGTTTATTCTCTACAAACATTAAAAGAAAACTTCTATAACTAGAATTTAATTTGTTTCTGAAACAGAAAAATATTATTCAAGGTTTTGTGCATCATTCACTTTTTGAAAATTTTGGAGATCAATTATGTAAAGGAAGTCTTATCAAAATTTGAATGAAAAAATATAATTAGAAACAAAATAATAGAAGCATAAGAAAAATAAAACATTTAATTTCTGATTTTGTTTTCGCGGGTCATCTAATTTTGTTTTTCATTATTTTGTTTCTTTTTCATGGATTATGAAAAATTTAGATCACAAACCCGCGTAAATGGGGGTCATTAATCTAGTATATGATAATAATTAAATTAGTAGTGTGCCATGTGCTAATGCTTATAAAAGAAATAAAAACATTTTAATGAAAGACTTAATCAAACCTCTTAGTCGTCATAGATTTCACCCAAAAATTTACAGGTTCAAGAATCTTGAAGGAGACAAAGAAAAGAATCTTGGAGGAGACAAGGATGACGAAACTCGTTTCTAAGACTTTAACGAGGTTGATCTCTCAAAGTCAGTACATGTCTTCTTCTACTACTAGCAATCTCCCTGCTACTTCCAATCTTGAGACCCAATTGCTTTCTTCAGTTCCACCACCCGCAAGTATCTTGCGCATGCTCTCTCTCGTCTAATTTGTGATTAAGCTCTGAATCTTGGTAATATATATTCATGAAGATGGAATTTTTGTTTCTAAAAATGTTTTGCAGAGAAGAAAAGAGGGTCAGCGTTGTTATGGTACTTAGTTGGATTCACTACCTATGGTCTCGGTGAGACGTATAAGTTCCTACAAACAGATGTGGTCTGTGATTTTCATTATATATATATAACCTTATCGAATATATGTGTTGTTTCTTTGAAATGCTAAAGAATTTGTTCAAACTCTTTTTGTTTCAAGTACAAGAAACATCTTGATTTCAGACAACAATGCTTGGAAATTAAACCAATGAAGCTGAATACAACGAAAGATTTGGATGGGTTAGGATTTCGACGGGTGGTATGCAAAGGCGTTTACGATGAGCAAAGATCGATTTATGTGGGTCCAAAGCCTAGATCCATGTCTAAAGGTTCTGAAAATGGCTTCTATGTCATTACACCTCTTTTGCCAATCCCTAATGAACCAAATAGGTGAGGGCTTTACTCTCTATATGTGCAAACCAAATTAAAGTCTTTTTGATCTCGATACCATCTTGATGCAAATATCTTGTTGGTTGTGTATTAAAGTGTTGTTTGTTTATGTGTTTGGATGCAACATCTAAACTAGACGCAAATACAAATTTTGTGTCTCTTACAAATAAGGTTGCCTTCAAAATGCAAAATTAATTTTAGAAATGAACCAAAACAAACATGGTCTAACTAAATTTCTTCTTCCTTTTGTCACTAGTATGAAGTCCCCTATTCTAGTAAACCGCGGATGGGTTCCTTCGGATTGGAAAGAAAAGTCTCTAGAATCTCTAGGTACCGGTGTTGTCGTTGCTGCTGCAAATGAGTCTAGAAAATCTAATAAAATAGTCTCCTCTCAACAAAATCTCTTGTCGAAGTTCTGGTGCAAGTTTAACAACCCAACAATTGCTGAGGTTGGTCTTCATTACATAAACTTAATTGGTACTCAATCATTCATTGCATATTTTGATATCATAGATAAGTTTTTTGGAATTTATTTTTAGAAGGATCAAGTCTGTGGGGCTATGCATGTGGCCGAAGTGGTTGGTGTAATTAGGAAAAATGAAACTCCAGGCATATATACTCTAGTAAATTATCCAAGTTCGCTTGCGTGGTTCTACCTTGACGTTCCTAAACTGGCTCAAGCAATGGGATTTGGTGAGGACACAATGTATATAGAGAATACTTACAAAGATATGGATGAAAGTAGACCATATCCAGCTCCGAGAGACGTTGAGAACTTGATTCGTAGCAAGGATATACCACTGAACTATCACTTATACACAGTTTTATGGTAACTAGCAACATAACATCGACTTATTGAACTAATTACTACTGGTTTTTGTTTGTTTGTTTATGGGTGATTGTTTCTACGTGTAGGCATTGGAGCTCCCTGACTTGCTTTATTAAGGCGTCATCGATTTTAATGCGAAAATTTACAAAATCTGATCCTGTTGGTATTGAGCCAATATTGATTCCGATTTGTATTCTATTTTTTATATGTACCAAGATATACAGTCTTCGTAACTTATTTTGTAAAATAGACACTATTGGTGTTGGTTGTCTCACTAAACTCGAGCCAGGAAAAGACATGCCCAATGAAGGATGAAGATCGTTCACCTGAAGATTGAGGAGAGGATATGGATTGTGAGCTTGTATAAGCAAATGAGAAGACAGAGCGAGGAGAATTTCATTCCGTATATTCAAGCCATTTGCCCCTATTTATCTCTTAGAAACATCTCGCATCTAAAACACCGTCATTTGTATTCTTCACTTCAATTTATCAGTAAAACAACATCAGTTCTTACAACGATAGATTACTTGTTGCCCCATAGGTTTGTGGTCTAGTACTGGTACTCTTGCTATTGTGCTTAAGGATGACGGTTAGTGTGAAGTGTGAACAATGAGCCGTCTACATCGTTAGTTGATCAAAGTAAACCGCAGAAGACAATATAACGGCAGAACTCAAACATTTTGTACAATGCCTTTTCATACAAAGAAATGATATTATGCATTTTAAATTTGAGATAACAAACAATTCAAATTATCTACTTCAATAAATCTGTTAGATGTTTCTTACTTTGACATACACGGTGTTAGTCAACCGTCTAACCGAGTTGAATTAGACGTATGAGGTGGAAATGAATGTGGCTATGCAAAACGATATAATTTTAGTCATTTTGTTTATGTTGTGTACGCAACAAAATGCCATGTTTTAAAACTGAAAATAAAATCAAAATGATTGTGTTTTGTCGACATATTTTATCTCCAACAAGGCAACAACGAGTAGCGATTACAAATAGATTTTTTTTTTAAATGTTAAAATATTGGTTAGAAAAGGAAAAAACTAAACCACATGGTGGTGGGCGAGTGGTTCTCGTTTGGTTGGAAGGATCGCCCTGTTGGTCTAGGCCAGGGATCGATCCTCCCCAGACGCAGTTTCGCTCTCTCACTCCTGTGGCCACCTGGGAATTTACCTGCGGACTTGCTCAGGCGCCCCAGACCACCAGTTTATCAGGGGGCCCTTAAGTGGAGGCTTAAAAATCCATGTGACGCGGGCTTAGGCCCAGTGGGCTAGTCAGATCACTGTGTGGTCTGGATACTGGGTTATCAAAAAAAAAAAAAAAAAAAAAACTATTACTATTTTATTTTACACTATCTAGGAAAGTAAGTAATCAAGTTTGAAAAATGTCACACAGTAATTTATTCTCCCAGGAAGGGACACCAGGTTTTTGATTCTTGAAAGGCATGTCAGCCAGGTGTTATTGAAATACAAAAACACCCTTTAAAGTTTAAACTATCTTTTCTTCTAATTTTTTTTTCTTTTGTTTCTCCAATCATTCGTATCCCTCCTTCCTCTCTCCTCTCTCTCTTCGCATCAGCCATGGCGGTTTCTATCTTTATCCCTCCAAAACCTCCTTTCTTCTACCATCTCTAGACCTTCCTCTCTCTCGATTTCTACCTCCCTTTCGCTTCGAAGTTTCTTCATTCGTCGGTGTACGTAATTCCGTTTCTGGAGAAGCTAAACCTCTTCAATTTCACCGATTTCAATGGCAATTGTCACCGGAGATCGATATGTTGAGAAGCTACAGAAGTTTTTAGAAGACGAAGCTGAGTCTCTTCTAGAAGAAACTATGATTCTCAAGCTTAATCCAGCTGGTCTTCACTATCTTCATCTCCGTCTTGAGTCTCTCCGTGAACTTGAACGCATGCTCTCTGGTGCTCCTGTTGATTACCTTCGCGCTTACGTTTCTGATCTCGGTGACTACCGCGCACTCGAGCAACTCCGTCGTATTCTCCGAATCCTCACTTCACTTAAGGTCGTTTCCACGCTTCCTTCTCCGGCTCGTGATCCTACACCGCTCTCTCTTATTCCCTTTGGTAGGCTTAAGGTTTTGGAACTTCGTCGTTGTGATTTGTCTACTTCTCCGGCTAAAGGCTTGCTTGAGCTCCGTCACACTTTGGAAAAGATCATCTGCCATAATTCAACTGTCAGTTTTGCTTCCTACTTCTTACTTCCTTCCTTTGTGCTGCTTTAGCTTGTATAGAGAAGAAATTGCCTATTTGGAATGGACAATGAGCGATTCAAGGTTTTGCATGTTGTGGATTTTGTTAAGTGAGGTATTATTTTCGATTTGATATAGGATGCTCTGCGGCATGTGTTCGCTAGTAGGATTGCTGAGATAACGAATTCGCCGGAATGGAATAAGTTGGCGGTCATATCTTGTGCTTGTAACCGTCTTGTGCTCATGGATGAGTCCTTGCAGCTTCTTCCAGCTGCTGAGTCGCTTGATCTGAGTCGAAACAAGTTTGTGAAAGTGGATAATCTTCGGAGATGCACCAAATTGAAGCACCTTGATCTCGGCTTCAATCATCTTAGAACAGTCTCTTACTTGAGTCAGGTGGGAGACTTCAGACTTTACCATATCCATGCATATGTGACATTTACTTAATCATATTGATATAAATTTACTTAACACATACGGTTGTAAGATGAGAAGGAATGTTGTAGTATCTGCTTTTGGCCTTGAAGTTCATATTCTTATTTGTCATTTGAACTGTCTAGTTCATCTGGGACCAATAAATATATCAATGTTTTTGGACAATGCAGGTATCCTGTCATCTTGTAAAACTTGTTTTGAGGAACAACGCTCTAACTACGTTGCGTGGGATTGAGAACTTGAAGTCACTTGAAGGCCTTGATGTTTCCTACAATATTATTTCCAACTTTTCAGAATTGGAGTTCCTTTGGAGTCTTTCATTACTGAAAGAATTGTGGCTGGAAGGAAACCCAGTGTGTTGTGCTCGATGGTACAGGGCGCATGTCTTCAGCTACATTGCTCTTCCAGATGAAGTAAGCTTTTTTTATTCTTGATTTGGAGACCCTAGAATCTTGTCGAGAAGCAGATATTGTACCATGTCGGTTTGAGCTTGATTTGTAATACTTCTTGTATTATATGAGTTTTCAGCTGAAGCTAGATGGCAAACAGATAGGAACTAGAGAATTTTGGAAGAGGCAAATCATTGCCCATAGGCAAAGTGAGCCTGCAAGCTACGGATTCTATTCTCCAGCTAGAGGGGAAGCTAATGAAGAAGGAAGCTGTAATAGAAAAAAGGTAAACAGCCGCAAGTCCATTTACAATATACTATACTGTACTTACACACACACATATATTATGTAGTGATCCTTTTATCCTGTGTGATAAATGGTAATATGGTATGACTGTCTGGAGAATTTTTTGAGCCATGCACATGCTGCGTTCAGCTTCTCTATTTTCTTTTCAGTATCATGCTTTGTTTTGTTTGATAAATAATTATCTAAAGCTTAATATCTTCCTGTTTTGACCTTTTAACAGAAAAAGATCTGTCGTCTCGCTTCAATTGATAGCGAAGCTGAGAGCACCTATGTGAATTCTGACCACGAGTCAGCTGCATGTGATCACGAGAACAAAGAGAATGTGAAGTGTGATCAAGAAGCCGATATATTTGGTCTTATAAGTAAAGTTGAACACCTGAAGAAAGAACGTTCTGTTCTGTGGTTGCGAGAGTTCAAGGAGTGGATGGATCATTCAACAGAGGATTTTTGTCAGTAAAGATGGCCAGGGTATCAATTTGGAAAAGAAGTACTATACAAAGATTAGAGAAATCTCAAGGCATCATGGTGGAACACCGAGATATGCTTCTGGGTCTTTACGTGCTTCAAGAGCTAAGGGCTATAGGAAAAGTTCAGAATGCAATGGCTCATGTGTGGATCATAAAGCCGGTAGGGATTATATGAAGTACATTGAAGGTAATGAGTCACAAAAGATAACCGATGACATCTCTTCATTAAGCCTTCAAAGTACAGATCTAAATCAGAAGCATCAGGAATGTTTACACCATGAGATGGAATCTTTGTCAGTTGAACCAAACAACCTGTTACCTACAACACTTTTCAGGGAGAAGCTAGCTGAAAATGGAAACATGTCAACATTGGATATAACCCAGCATATGACAGGATCAACATATCCTGGGTCACCTCCTCATTATCAGAAAGATGTCTTATATCGACGTCGTAACTTGGTGAAAGAAATCTTGCAGTTGTCTGCAGATTCTTATTCAGTGGCATCATCTGATAGCACAAGCAGCAGCAGTGAAGATGATAACTATGACTCTGAATCTGAGTATTCAAATCATAAAGAGGGGCGGTTGACAGAGCTTCTTAATGTGAATAAACTTGGGAAGGAGATTCTGGAATGTGGACCAAAAGGAACAAGCTTTCTTGATTTACAACCGGAGAATGGTAGCACAATAAAAACTTTGAGAACAGATGAATCAATGAAGGAAAATACCGCTAACTTTCTCTCTGGATTGCATAATGGTGAACATGGTGTTAACCAGACAGACCGTTTGGTTGCGAAAAGGAAACCTATAAAACGATTTGTTTCCTTCCAGAAAGAGGAAAGTTGCATTACCAATGGAGAGATATCTCTCAGGAGTGATGCAGAAATCAGTGATTCTGGTGAAGATGAGTGTATTTCTGATAATTTTTGGGAGAATTCCCTGTCAACGGTTTGTAGTAGCAGTAGTAATAGGAGTATCAAATTTTTAGGGACTGATAGAACACTTGAAGAAAAAAGCGATTTAGTAGAGGAATATTTTTCAGCAAAACTGTCAGACTCCAGTTCTCAAGAAACTTGTAGGACGTACATGAATTGTGATCTTATACTACAGAAAGGTTCCACATACAAGCAACGGTGAGTTATTGTTCCACTTGCATGGTCGTAGTTTGTAGGTAAAGGATAGTACTGCGAGTCCCTTCCAAAAGTTTTGTACATTAGTTTTGATACCTGATTCCTGCCTAGCTGAGGGAAAAGAGATTTCATCATTTTTCTAGTATGGCTAGGCTTTCTTAATACTCAATCAAATTGCAGTACTACATGATACCATTAGATTAAATGCTTTGGGCTTCCTTGAACTGGGTGATGTGTGAAAAATCCTAAGTGAATTTTGGTTTTATATATATACAGGGAAGCAGTGTTGCTGCTGACTAGCCAAGACAAGCTGTACGTGCTACTCATGGGTGTGGCTACTGATTATGAAGGTTAGACTAGCTGTCTTTCTTGCTAGCACGTCATAATTTTGCTGATGGTGAGTTCTTAATGGCGATGTATGACTGCAGGGAGTACCTTAAGTGTACTATGTTCTCATGAAATCAAGGATTTACAAGACGTATCAGTTGGTCTAGGACTTCAGTTTGTGAGGTTAGTCTTTTTCTGGTTCGGCTTTGTAGATTTGTTTTCGTATCCACTGTACATGTCCCAGTAACCTTCTCTTTTCTTGTGGGTAGGCTACGCTTTTTGGAGGATGTAGAATACATTTTTGTAACCAAGTGTATTGAGAAAACAACAGAATTACTCAATATCACACAAGTTTTCGATTCCCAGGCTACAGAGTATAAATGTTCTTTGCAAAGGTAAAGCTATTAACATTCAACACAGATTCGGCTATGTAAATTTTTGCTGTCATAATTTTTTCTTCCATGTTAATGGCAGTCTGGAGAATAATCAGGTGGACTTGTTTGAGAAAGAAATATGTGGAGGTTTGAAGCTGAGTATATTCCAGTACAATGTTCTCCATTTTCAGAGCACCACTCGTGGAGGTATATTCTCTCTTTGCCTATGAAATAAAAAATGGTTCACTCAAATTTCCATAACCACACGTGAAAATAGACTTTTTTGTTTATTGATAATTCTGCAAACCTGTGGTTAGGCCAAATCAGTTACTCATGCATGTGTCTGGCGACCCAGAGTATATGATTCATATTCACATTAAGTCATGTCCCCTTCATTTTTATCTCCAAATAAAGTGCACTCTGCATCATTAACCATGAACCATCACAGTTTCATTACTACAGTTACGGTCTTATATATGTTCACCGCGTCCGAAACCTTCAATACAAGCTATTATTGATCGGCTACTAAGATTTTTGTCTAATTTAAACTGAACAGAAGTCTCATGGCTTTTGCGGTCGCTATTTGTGGCTGGTAGGCGTCTCTTTATATGCAATGAGGACTTCACACAATTAAGTTCTCGAATAGCATATTCTTCTTCAGCTCCATATTTCTTGCTGGACTCGTGCTGCTCAATTTCTGATATATCTGAGACGGTAATAAGTTTCTTCATTGTTCTTCTCCTTTTGCTTGCACTTCAGTGAGATGAGATGTCAACTTCCATGTACGAACTTGAATATTTTCCTTGTTCAGATCATTGATTTGCAAGGAAGTGTTGTGTCATTAAAGATCAAAGAGAAGAGAACAGTGGATTTAGTTACATGGAAGCTCAAGTGGTGCAGCATAGAGAATGCTCTTAAGTTTGCGGCTTTGCTCAAAGCTCTTCATCCCAATTCGCCACAATGGCCATTGGCTGTAAGATACAGGAGATAAGTCTTCGTTTACCTTTTCTTTTGTTTTTTTGACCGATCACCTCTGTTTTCTAGTTATGTATATACAACACACATGCACAGCACATTGTTCATATTCATTTGATTCAATTTGTCTTTTGGGTTAAAATCATCTCTTTAACCCCTCTGTGTGAGCCCTTCTTTCCCTTTTTAAAACATAGTAGATTTGATTTGGAGTCTTTGGTGCGTCGTAGGAACATCTTGGAGTTTACATAGTAACAAACATTGGGGCAGGGTAACAAAATCGGAATTTGTACTCGCAGACACGATTTTAAACCGCTTAAATTAGGCAGGCAGGTCAAGCTAGGAAGCATACGACTCCAAGGCCAAGTGTATGCATATGACAAACAAAGAAACATGTGTTGATCTTATATGTTAGCCTGTTCTTTAGCAGCTGAACTGATCTCGCTTTGTCCGGACAAGTTCCAGCGGTAATCTCTCCAGTGCCATCTGAAAAATATCACATGAGTCGTTAATCATATTATTCAAATCGTAGGCGTAGAAACAAAAATTGATTCTATCTCACCCATAGTCTTGGAGCTGTAGGATCAGACTTTGGTTGTGCTTTGGCTAGCTTCGATTTGAAACTTATGGTGATGCATACCTTGAATTCCACTGAGAAGGGACTGTTCCACACAGACATAGGATCACAATCATCATCATCATTTCAGCAGTTTATATAGTATAAACTAATTAGAGAGACGATTGTTTCAATCAACTGCCTAGGTTTATGAAAAATGAAGCAAAGAAAAACTTACCCTGCGAAAACGGAAGGACACATCAGAAGCCGAGGAAGTAAAACGTAAATGGGTAGAGTCATGTTATGGCACACATCACCATCCCCAATCTGAACATGAGACGAGAAGAAGAACTGTCTTAGTCACATAGCAAAGCATTTCGATATTACCACTACTACATTAAGAAACCAAAATGGTCATAGTTAACACCTGTGTAGACTGAATCAAAGAGGTCTCAGTGACAATCCTTTCCCCCACAATTATCGACTCGACACGAAGTAAGTGAATGTCGATAGAAGTAATAGGAACTGAAGATGCTTCCACTGTTAACTCGCCACTGAGTGGATCCTGCAAAGAGCATTGGGTGGCTAATTTTCCGGTAACTCGGAAACCACCTTGTGAGATCAATAGTTCTATTAGTTTTCTCATTAACAGATCAGGAAATCTCCAAAATTGGGGTGAAGATGTTGGAAGAACAAACCTGTCTTAATCTCGGGTAGCAATGGATGTCTCTGAGTGTCTTGAGTGATGTAAAAGATTACCATCTCTGGAGGAATTGGCCGCTCGGGAAGATCAACTTCAACCAAAACCCAAGGAAAAACATCACAAACAATTCAAATTTATCCTAGAAACATCAGTGAAGTCAAGAAAAAGTACCTCTACCGCTTTCAATAATAAACTCCATTGTTGCAGATAAAGGTTTGTGCAAGTATCCTCGCGGTATATCTGCAGTTAGTAGATACTATCACAGATTTTGGCATCAACTTTTTCCCAATTCACAGATAAAAATCCTAAAATCCTTTTAAAAAGCTGATCAAACTACTGACTTGGATGTTGATATTTGTTCCATGAAATGTCTCATAAAACTTTTCTACAATGCTTTCCCCAGGCTCCCTCAGATTCAAAGAGAATGGTATCTACAGCAAAATCTAAAGCTTAGCTTACTCATATGAGATCTTTCTCAATGGGACTGTGTTCTTTACCTCTGTAGTTCCCGGAGGGATTTTGCCAGAAGATTTAACTTCGATCGTCTTTTTACTGTGGCCAAATTCGAATTATTTTGGCATCAAGGAATCAATTCAAGAACCAGAGAAGAAACAAATGCTTACACAATTTGAATAGGCTTGATGACACCATAGAAGGACTCAATAACTCCAGCTGATCCTCCACGAACCTGTAGGAGTGAGGAAGAAATTTTAACTAACTCGGAGAACCAAATTGAAAAAAAGGCTTCAATAGAGAGAATCTGAAACCTGCAAGTTCACTGATCCATTGACGGATAAACGTATTGCTTGATGCGAAATCGAAGTAGCAGATTTTATCACAATTTTGCCTTCCACTGGTTCCTGAGTAAATTCAAAACCGGAGATTTTCAAACTCATCTTCATCGTTTATATCGTGAACATAAGAAAAGAGATTCGAGACATACGGAAGAGCGATAGATACGATTTGATCGAGAAAGTTTGACATTCACCGTCGTCGCCGTCGCCATTGAATCACCGAAGCCGCAGCAGCAGATGCTTTTGTGGTTTTCAACGGCGGAATTAATGAGACAGCAAGTAGTTTTCTCTAAGGGTAGACAAACAGCAAGGTGTTTTATGTAAAGACAAAGCGTTGATGAAACGGCATGAAGTTCTCTCTTTAAAGACAAAACGTTAAACAAAACGGCAAGCAGTTAGTACTGGAGAGTTGGAAACAGCATGAAGTGTAATTCAATTAAAGAAGAAAAAGTTATAGAGGAGACGTTACAGAGAGCTACAAGATTTTCTTCTCTCTTGTCTTGTCAAAGAGATGATATCAGAGAGAAAGCTTAAGCCCTAATTTTCATCAGAGAAGAAGATGTGGAAGAAAGGGGAGCTAGTTTGGGTAAGCCTTAGCTCTTCAGATACATGGATTCCGGGTCGAATTCTTGATCCATCCGAATCGTTAGTGTCGTTCTTCGGCTTAATGGAGCCGCGTTACGTTCCAAAACCTTGTCTTCGAAGCTTCGATCGCGATTTTAAAACCTTGATTTCAGATTCACGGAAGATTCGCCGGTTTGTGAATCGAGCTCTGCGAGCTCACTTTTGGAATATCTCGTTTGGGTTATGGTGTTCTTGCCAGCCACTTATTGATTCGCCTTACTTCGATAGAGAAAATTCTCTCCCATGGTTTCCTCTATCTTCGGATTCGGCTCTGGGTTTTGTTCGAGACATGGCGATTTCGATTCGAGTGCCTCTCTGGAGATTAGCTGAGACCAACAGTTCGAGTGCTCAAATCCTTAGTTTTCGGCGTTACATTGTTGATTTTAAGCGTTCCAAATCTGTCTATGAGGAAGCTATAGAAAGTAAGTGTGGAAATTCTCATTTTTGGGTTTTCTTGTTCTTGTGTTATGCTGTGTTCAATTATGATTGTTGATACTTTTTCGTTTGATTGGTTTTAGGGGAACTTAAAGAAGTCAAATTTTGAGTGTTAACTTATATGCTCTGTTTACACTAGAACAAGGCAAAGTATTGATTGACAGATATTGCTATGATTTGAATTCTCAAATAATTCTGTGAATATGTGCACAGGTGCAGAGCTAATGGATCGCTCTGAAGAATCAGATTGGTGTCTTGAATACTCAAACAAGATGGACTTGGTTTCTATGTTTCCTGAGATTGTGGATGCAGACGTGGAAAGTAGTAGAGATTTGATTCTAAGTGATCCATTGCCAAAGGATGTTCTTTGTTGTCCTTCTCCTTCTTTTGTGCAGCCTGTTGATAAAGTTGTTCAGATTTGCACATGGAATACGAGAAACCCTCTAACCAACTCTAATTCTAGCACCATGAAAGCTTGTGAAACTATGGCTCGAATAGCTGTTCATGAGGATGATGGTCACCGGTCTAAGAGTAATGATTGCTGTCAAGTTGTGCAGAGTATCTGCTTACTGAATTCAGAACCTCCTATTGAAGATATGATAGAGGAAGACACCACTTCTGTTCCTGCCCCAAGAGTTGATGTATCAGAAGCACTTCCTGATGGTATGATTGAAACTCATGATGACATCATTGGTTTGGTTGATGGACCTGTGATATCGCCAAAGCAACTGTCACCCTTGCTTGATGGGAGTAACGACAAGGTTTATTTGGCAAAGCCTGTTTCTTTTGTTGTTCCGGGAGCCTGTCACACTCTAGCTTGTTCAGTGAGAAAGAAATATGCTAGCCCAAGAAACAAGCTTGATAGCTCTATCATCAGTAAGAAATATGCTAGCCCAAGAAACAAGCTTGATAGCTCTATCGTCAGTGCCAATACCTTGAATGAGCAGTCGTTAGATAGGAATAGTCTTAATGGAACACGAGAAAATTGCTCTAACGATGCGTTGGAGTCGCATATTGTAGAGGTGGGACAGGTTTCGCTACATAGTACAGACACTTCAAACAAAGAATTAAGTTCTGATGATGTAGGCATAGCACCTGCAGAACAATTGCGAGATTTAGAAGCTGGTACAACTGTTGAAAACCAGGCAAGATCAGTTGATAATGTCAGATCCATTGGTGTCAAAAGGAAAGCAAGTCGAGACAAACCACGTAACTCCAAGAGAAAAAAGAAAGCAGGCCAACAATCTATTTCTACTGATAAACCGCTGAATCTACACCTGATGAAAGATATGCGGCTTGCTAATCCAAAATCTTTGCGAATGAAGTTCTTGAGCAGACATGGGGATCTCCCATCCAAATCAGAACTGTTGAAGAGATTCTGTGTGTTTGGGAAAGTAGATGCTTCAAGAACTGATGTAAACCCAGAAGATAGCTCTGCAAAAGTAGTATTCATGCAGAGCATAGATGCAGTGACGGCTTATCAATTTGCTAGGAGCAAAAAGTTTAGACTAGGACGGTCTAAGGTTACATATCGCCTCGACCCCTTCGAGGAAGACAATGAAGTAAACAAAGTTCCTTTGTCTCAGAAGCCTCAAAAGTCTGTTCCATCACCAAAATCATGTCTCAAGGAACATGGTTCGGAAGATAAAGAGGAGGGAAGAAGGAATCTGAAGGTGAAATTTCAAATGGAGACTAACTCATGAATCCGATGACACCATCATCTCAATAGTTTTGTGCATAGCTTATGTCGCTCTCACGGGAATTCCTTGTAATGTAGCTACGGTCTGTTCCTAACGAAGAACTTGCACTTTTTTTTGGCCCCGAAGCTTTTGTGTAATCATGGCTTGTTTTGTATTAGAGATGACATAGTTTGTACTTGACTATATAAAATAGCTTTAACGGTGAATGTGACTACAAACTAGGTTTCCATTTTTCTGCTTCAAAATTGTTTTTCTGTTAAGAAATTTGGGAACTCAACAATAGAAGAAGAAATAACAAGTTGAAAGGAAGTAGCAAGTTGTGAATCTTGAAAGTACAAAAGCATAAGTTACACTAAGGCAGGTCGTTTCCATGTATGGTCTTCTTGATCGTTATTGGATTCGCTAGGTCGTTTGCACTCGCATTTCTTGCAAACATCGTTTCTCCTAAAGTTCACAAAGTCGCATCTGCAAAATTAACATGAACCAAGGGAACAAGAATGTCTGGTTTAGGATATGAAGATAACAAATTACTAAATTAGAGATGGAGAGAGAAAGAGAGACGCACGAGGGGCATTCCCAATCTCCAGGCTCAGCTAGCGTCTTGTGACGTTGTTCTCGGCACTGTCGACACTGTTTGTTGCTAGCAAAGTTCATATATCCACACCTGAAAATATACATACAAAGCAGTCTGATCAGTACAGAGCAATCTAGCAAAGATACAAGATAGTAAACAATGACTTTACACACTTCAATCTTTAGCAGACAGAAAAAAATGAACATAAAGACTCAAGGCAGATACAGCTGATGATTGTAAACAAACGCGAAGACATAGAAGCAAAAAAAGATATTGTAGAGGCTTTGAGAGGTAAGGGAAACTTACCCAGTGCAGTTCCAGTCTCCTTTTTTCATTTCAACAACATTCACCATTGATGTTTTCTTTGGTCCCTTTGCTTTGCATTTCAGACAGCTCTGGTTTCTTGTAAAGTTTAAGAAACTGCACCTGTGGAGTCAGCAAGGAAATAACCAATGAGGGTATGGCATAAAAGACTTAATACTTTTTGATTTCGAGAGAAACGGGTAATTGTCAGATTTAGACTTACTCAGGACATAGCCAGTCACCTTCCTTGACAACAGCAGCAACAGGTCGTCTGTCAGCGACTTCATTGCACTCTCGGCATCTTTCATTTCTGGCAAAGTTTACAAAGTCGCATCTGTAGAGGAACACAGTAACAGAAACACACAAAAACTAAAGTCAGGAATTTACAGAAACAAACACTAATTTCTCAAACCAGTGTTTTAACATCTTCATCAAAAGAAACTGACAACAGTATTGCAGCCTCAGATATGGTCTAGAAGGTAAGAGCCTAGGGAACTAAAAAATGGATTCAGTGTATAAAGAATCAGACCAATTCTACAGAGACAACATACGAGCTAGTCGTTCTTAGAAATCACTTACTTGGGACAAGCCCAATCTGCACTGTAAAGAGGTCGATCACGTTGAGAAGGTTCATCGTTCCTCGATCTAAAAGCCACACGTTGAGAAGGCTCATCATTCCTCGATTTAAAAGCCACACGCTGAGAAGGCTCATCATCATTCCTCGATTTAAAAACCCTCTCCTTGGGAGGCAAAGATTCCTTAGAAGAAGGTTTTGGCAAGGCAGGGCTTAAAGGCTTCTCACTGAACTCAACCAACTCTAAAAGAAGTCTTCTTGCAGACTCATGAACAAGTTCTTTACCAGGTGGAATTTCACCTCGAGAGATAACAATCGAATCAAGCGCATTGAACAATAGTAAACGCATAACATCAACGGTTCGAGCATCAGCTTCTGTATCCTTAAGTATCACATAAGCTCTATCACACGAGCTACGAAGATCACAAGAACCACAAACCTAGAAATCAAAAACAAAACATTTCTTATGAGTTAAAAGATCTCTCTAATATCAAGGCTTAAACAATTCCATAGCTAATGCAACAACATACATCTCCTTCGTTTAATCGAACATGAGCTCGAATCCTTTTGGATGAATTCACGGTTTTTCTAAAGAGATTAGGGCATCCACGCTCCACAAGAGCTTGTACATCTCCTGATGATAAAGATCTGCATCAAGAAGAGGCACAAAATCAGTATCTGATGATAAGCTTGTTCATTGAAGATAAGAAATTAGAGAGATTTATATACCTGAGAACGTCGTAACGATCACGAGCGAAGCTGAGGCAAGCATCTTTAACTAGATTCATTTCCTGATAAACCGTATCATCTTCAGTGTCTTTGGTGAAATATCCTTTCGTCTTTAAACGATCGACGAAAGTTATCCACTCTGGCCATGGATGAGGAGCAAGAGACGGCGAATCCGAATCCACGGTGGTTGTTACTGCGGTGGCGGCGTCACTGGAGAAGCATCTGAAGCGGAGAGATACACAGGGGAAGCGATTGAAAGAGAGAGGAAAGGAAGGTTTGTGGGGACGGAAAATGGAATTTCCAACTAGGAAAATTCTGGAAGACGACATTTAATCTCTCCGGTAAGATCTCACCAGAGACTGTAAGTGAGGTTTTAGGAAGGTTTTTGGCCGGCGAACGAGTGGATAAAGGAGAAGGCTTTTCAAGTTTTGACTATTTGCAGTTTGACGTTTTATTTTTATAAGAGTTTTTTTTTTGTCCCTTTAGTTTTAAAATTACAACTTTACAAGCTATTCTAATATGTTATGTGATTATAGTTTTAGATTTGTATTTTTCTGTCTAGAAACTTGGGAATTTAACGAAGACGAAGAAGAAAGAACAAGTTGAAAGGAGATAACAAGCTATGGTATTCGTGATTAGATCCTCTTTGGTGGTTGAAAATTTCTGTCAATAGTTTCAGCATCTCTGTAACTGCTTTACATTCTATTTCATTGCTCTCTATCTAGATAAGTGAAATTGTTCCGAAATCAAAAGAAATCCAAACTGTCTTTTTCAGTCAAAAGCAAAGAGTTCTTCAAGTTGCTCGTCCGTCCACTGTGGCAACGAGATTGTTGACGCCATCAATTGAGATTTGTGGACCGTAGTTCGAGTTGTAACTTCATCAGAGTTCCCCATTATATTCTCTTGCTCATCAATGTGTGGTTCACGACTTCTTCTGATCTGTTTCGCGGGTCTAATGCCATCAGCTGTATCAGTCTCAGTAGCTACATCTTGACATAGTTGCTGCTCTGATTGGCTGATTAAATCATGTTTTCCCAAGAGAGTCTGCTCCATTCTAACTTCACACTGATTCTTGGTCACATCCTTTTTTGGACAGAAGTTACTTCCCTCTGCTGGATTAATGTCTACCATTTCTACATCATTGAGTGCTTCACTGTTTCCTTTCACATTTTGTCTGAGATTGTTCATAATTCCTTGAGTAGTTCCTTGCTCCACAATAAACGCTTTGGGTTGCAGTCGCAAATATTCCTCGTTTTCTGTTAGACCATGTCAAAGGTTTGAGTTTCTTAATCAAACTGTGAAAAACTCGAAAGAAAATTTAATCACTTACCATTCACAGGAACAGGATTCTTGGCACTCGGTTCCGAATTGTTCTGCATTGGTAAAACAGGAGTATCCTTTGTGATAACCTGTAAATGGAAACTCTCTAGCCTTAAGAAATTTTCATATATTCCAATGAATATAAGAAGGTGGAACTTGATATCCTAAGAAAAACTGCCAGAGAAATACTACCTTGGAGATGTTCTTCAGTGTTATGTTAAGATAAGTTGACGACCGACAAGGTGCGCAGACTGCAATCTGAAAAACACTTTATCTTTAGTCCATCTCCATTGAATTACCAAGAGTGACTGAGAAACAAAGTAGCAACGTCAAAACCATGAGAATTGTTTTATCTCCTTAATGAAAAACAACAAACCTGCTTAAGTATCACCACTGCACCAACTCTTATATCTCTTCCAAACTCACTCTCGGAGATAACTTTTCTGTGCACGCTGGCATCAATTGTTCCAGTGGGATCCTAACAGCAATATACAGATTTGAGACTCATGAAAAATGGTACGTGACAGAAAAAAAATAGTGGAAACCATTCACATTGTTAAGAGTTTCTTGTATGTTCTTTTTTACCTTAAGGGTCACCATGACATCACCTAGACCATTTGGAGTGAAAGTTTTGACAATAGCCACGACCTACAATGACCAATCACAATTCAAGTATGTCAGTACACTTTTTATTTTATTAGTTGCAAAGACAAGATGTGGATGACTTGTGGCCAAATAGCAAAAAGATATTTTTCAGAATATTCCACCTTTCTCTCCACAAACACAGAGCACTAGCAAACACATACCAGCAGACTAGTATAGAATGCACATTTCCAATATACTCTAACCGGATGATCACTAGATATCTTGATACAATGGAAATGGACTAGAGGGTACCGCTAAACTGAGTAGGTTATTCACACCTGATCAACTCTACCCCAGCTGTCACATCTGCTCTTAATCTCGCTCACTGGTGTCCCTATAGCATTTCCACCATTGCTCAACAAACCTGCCAAAAAATTTGAAAATGGTAAACAAGAAATCCTAAGGATTTGACAATGTTTGCATCAAACACTACAAGTGTCAGATTCTAGAGAAAGCATCAGTAAGTAACCTTCACTTCTGATGTAATCAACAGCAGAGACCCACGGGTCATCAGAGAAATCCTTGTCTTCCCAATCAGGCTCTTCCGCAGCCTTACGTAGGAACTCTTGAGTTGGAATTGGTTCTCCGTGCTCATTAAACGATTTTGGATCCTTATTCATCTTCCTGCGGATTGCAACTTGAACAACTCCAGCAGGTCCTGGAATTAAGGAGCGGGAATAACTCTCCTCAAGAAAATGATCCGGCGAGGAGCAGCGCCTAAGAGTCTGACGGTGATTTGTGTTACTATTAAAACCCGCCTTTGGATTATGTTGTTGCGCAGGCGGTTGCAGAGACCTCGACGGAGATTTGCGTTTGCAAGGGCGGAGAAAGGACGGGAGTTCAGAATCACCCAGATCAAGAGCTTCCCATTGCTCTACTTCTGCTTGGGAATTCATATCTTTCAGCACACGAATATGTTGAAAGAAGATTCATCCGCACATACCTTCTTGTGTACACCACAAACTCCACAATATTCCTGTGATTTATCAGTAACAGAATCATGAAAGAGATTTACAAAAACCATCAGAAATAGGATTTGCATCAAAATTCAATTGATCAATCGCTCTACAAAAGTTCAGAGAACACTCGACGAAAATGATGAGCTGATCGACATAACAAGAAACAAACCCAGATTCTGTAGCAATTGCATTACACCAGTAAGTGAAATTCAATTCCGAGACTAAAATTAAGAGTCTCACTACTATTATTACACTTAGAATTCCATTTCCATAAGGCACGAAATTTACCAAGATTGAGAACTCACCGGCGGTGGAGGCAAATAGGGACAACGACGCGACGGCGGCAGAGCGAGGAGGCGACGAGAGAGAGGTCTCAGTAACGTGACAACGGTTTGATTCTTGGGAGATTCTTCATTTCTTTGAGAGTAATCGGAAGGGTATTTATGTCATTAGCTATTGGGCCTCTTTATATATATATATGGGCCGGCTCACTCTCTACTAGTTTACTTGACTCGAATCCGCAAATCCTAAAGACTTCAATTTATAACCCAAACAATTTTTAAACCATAAATGCATGTTTAAAAAAATCCATCCTACGACAAACACATTTTATAAAGAGTTCTCAAAAGTGTTAGTATTTGTATAAACAAACATTATATTTAAAATAGTCATGATTCATATTTTTCTCAAACAATATTTGCTTAATATACAAAAATTAATCGACTAAGTGAAAATATTTTGGAAATAATTAAAAGAATAAAATTTGGAAGCTACAAAAAATCAGAACAAATTTAGCTTTTCATATAATCACTAAAATAGATTTTATTATTTTCAAGCATTATTTTCCTCCTACAAATGAGAAAAAAAAAACATCCTAAATTTAATATCCTGTCATCTCCCACCAATACCGGAATATCCTGTCTTGCTTATTTGATTTTCGTTTCTCCCACTAACAAACTCTCACCTCCCTTTCCGGTAAAACAAAAATAAGATCTTTGTTTCTTTTTGGAATGAAAATGTAAACAAACAAAAAAAAAAACAAAAAACAAATTTGACGAAGACAACATAAAACGTTAAAGATTGAGGAAGACAGAAGATTTGCTATGGTGAGTTTCTCCGATAAAATAGTCGAATGTTTCTTTTCTATAGGGTTGTTTCTTTGCAATTATATGTTCTTTTTCTGATAAAAGGTTTTTTTCCAATTATATGTTCACACCTTTTTTCCCTTACCGAGACATCTTTCATCATCTAGTTTCAACGTAGAATATTCTTGGATATGGATCGAACTAATTTGATAATTCGATTTACGTTTATGCAGAATCATGCATGATCGTTTCATTTCTCTATTTTTCTTCTCTTTTTCCTACTAGCTAGAGAAAAATTAATCTTGTTGCAGGGGAGAAGCATAAAGATCGGAGGATGAAACCCTCTTTAATGGATAGTCTACTAGGTCTCCTCCGTATTCGCATCAAACGCGGCGTCAATCTCGCAGTCCGCGATCTCAACAGTAGTGATCCTTACGTCGTCGTCAAAATGGGAAAACAGGTAACCATCCTTAACCATAATATGTACAAATGGCCCTAGTTCTTGAGTTGGTATGTCGGGTTTTTTAATCCTCTCAATATCGAAGAGACTTTTTGATATTAGATACTTTTTCAACTATATGATGGAGAATTTAATTTTTATTTTGTTACTTTTAGTGAATGAAGGTATAGCTAGGTAATAGTGACCTTTTAAACATCTTGGTCATAGGAGCGTTCGGATTCTTGTATGATCTTTATTAAATTTACTAAAATATAGGTCACCCGTTTGAAAGTCGTCGATCACGAGTGTTGAGAGTTTTGGTAGTTAAGAATTTAGGTCCTATTTTGTTTTTGTTGTTCGAGTGTTTAGGAAGACTTTAAGGTATATATTATCGGTCTTTACCGATAGATAATTGAATATTATTTACTTGCTATTTTGTCCGAAGCCTCGAGGTCCCTAGCTAATTCGCCGCTGGGGTGAGGGTGGAGACCAAATATATATCTTTGTGCATCCTAGAATTAATTTACATGATACAAAATTCTCATTTAAAGGTTCAAGAATCATTATCTAACGCAAAGAAAGTAGTTATGGTTATTGAAACGAATGAGAAAATTGAATGGGCAGAAAATGAAGACTCGAGTTATTTACAAAGATGTAAATCCTGAGTGGAATGAAGATTTAACTCTCTCAGTTTCAGATCCCAATCTTACCGTCCTCTTGGTAAGAAATTAACTACAAACTACGATCATATTTTTCAAATTTTTTTTTAGATAACCGTAATGTTATAAAATGTTACGTATCACTAATTGGTTGTCATTTTGCCTAGACGGTGTATGATTACGACACGTTCACCAAAGACGACAAGATGGGAGATGCAGAATTCGTGATAAAGCCGTTTGTTAATGCATTGAAGATGCACTTACATGATCTCCCATCTGGGACCATTGTGACCACGGTCCAGCCTAGCCGAAACAATTGCCTAGCCGAGGAGTCTCGGGTTATATGGTCTGACGGTAAGCTTGTTCAAGATATAGTTCTTAGACTAAGACATGTCGAGTGCGGTGAGGTTGAAGCTCAACTTCAATGGATTGATCTTCCCGGATCTAAGGGTCTATGATTTGTTTTTCTCTGTTTTGGTTATGGGACTTTAAACCTGAATTTTAAAACCCCAAATTAATGTAAGCAAAAGAACTAGAAAGAAAAAAACGATAGTAGGAATTGTCTTTGTATATTTTGTTTATCATTTGTTTACTAAATATATAACGTGTTTCTAGAAAGTTAAAGAAAGTTACGACGTTATATAAGAGGTTTCAATTTTTATTTCACACATTAGTGATCGTGGAGGTCAAAAACCAAGCCCTTATTATAACTCGTTTGAAATGTTACCACACTTCAACCATGGAATGGAATTATGTAGTATTGGTAACTTTCTTTTTTTGTTTTTTGTTGTTTTTTTTGTTTTTTTGTTTTTGTTTTTTGTTTTTTTAGTTTTTAACTTTCATCACTTACTAGCTGCCAAATTTCATCTAGTAGTTGTACATATACGTCAAAATTTACTTAAATGGTGAGAAAATCTCGAACCAAGGCACGTGAACAGATTAATGTCATGTCTGACACAAGTATATGAGTACATGCATTACGATCAGTTCACATATTTGTTGTCTTTTTAACGTCTGCGCATCCGGGACCCATCAATTAGGTTTACTCTTTTTTTTTTTTGTGAAAATAATTTCTTGAATTAATTAATATAATATAAAGTACAAAGGAAACATATGAGAAAACCATAAAAGAGAATATATATAGAGACCAGCAAAAAAAGATAAATGAGAAGGATCAAACCTACCACAACCCCTTCACCACAATCAACAAGAGAAAAGTGAAGAGAAGAGAATAAGAGGTATTCTCACTCCCACAAGATAACCTTAGTAGACCTTGCTTTTATGAAATTAAGTTTAGAAGTTATATATATAATTCTTAAATAAACTTTTTCACCAAAAACTTATATATCGTTCCTACTTCCTACACTATAATTTGTTTTCGCCACAAAATACTTCCTAATTTGTTTTTTAATTTATTTTTTGTGTATATAAAACTCACAAAATTAATTTTAGAGTTCAGTTGTTCATTAATTTCGTTTTCAATTTCTTTATCTAGTCCACTATTTTATTCCTTACAATACTCCACTATCTAACGTTTAATGCAAAAGCGTTATTGATTTTCATTGTCTAATATAACAAGGCCCAAAGGCCCAAGCCCATCATCACCCTCTATCTCACACTCTCTCTCTCTCTCTCGAAAAGCGCTCAACGGTCTCCTTGTGAACCACAAAACCATCGCTTCCCGGAGAAATCTGAGGGAATTGAGTCTCTAATTGATCGACATGAATCAAAGAGGAAAATCCAACAATCGTAGATCAAGGAGCTTCTCTCGATCCAGACTCGCCGTTGAAGGCCATTGAAATCTCCCTTCACATTTCTCTCTCTCTATCGTCTTCTTCCTTCTGAGTTTTCCGACGACCTCTCCAAAAATGGCGACACCTTACAGTAATATTCTCCTTATAATATATCTTCTTCCTTGTCGGAATCGCACAAAAATCGAATCTTTTGCTTTTGTTCTTTGTCTTTTTCTCCTCCATTACTTTATCAGATCATGATCATTGATAATTTCATAAATTTATAAATTTTTTGTTGGCCCTCTTTCAGGAAATCAATTTATTAGTGATGTAGATTAATCACGTTGTGAATGCTTAAAAAAAAACAAAATTCGAATAAAATATATTGTGGTGTACAAAAGTAGTGTCTCTTCATTATTTCCAAAGTGTATGAGAGTGTCTTCTTAATTGGAACAGAGGAAGAGAGAGATATCCAAAAAAGCTACTGGATGGAGCATTCTAGTGATTTGACTGTTGAAGCTATGATGCTTGACTCCAAAGCTTCTGATCTCGACAAAGAAGAACGTCCTGAGGTTTGTGTACTTGTGACATTTCTATAGTAAGTGGTTTGGTTCTCCTGAGTTTGAAACATGAACTTGGCTGATGATGTGTTTCTTTGCTATATAGGTACTCTCTTTAATCCCACCATATGAAGGGAAATCTGTGCTTGAACTTGGAGCTGGTATTGGTCGTTTCACTGGTGAATTAGCTCAAAAGGCTGGTGAAGTTATTGCCCTTGACTTTATCGAAAGCGCGATTAAGAAGGTGGCTAGCTGTTGTTATGTTGAAAAGTTTCTGTTTTAGCATGGCTTCTCATAATTTCTTTGGTGATGTTGTTCTTTGCAGAATGAAAGTGTTAATGGGCATTACAAGAACATCAAGTTTATGTGTGCTGATGTAACATCTCCAGACCTGAAAATCGCAGATGGATCTATTGACTTGATTTTTTCAAACTGGTTGCTTATGTATCTCTCTGATAAAGAGGTAGAAACTGTTTTTCATTACTGGATTCTTGTAGTTTTTTCGAATGTTTAGAGACGAAAGTCTTAATCTTATCGATGGTGATCGTAGGTGGAACTAATGGCAGAGAGAATGATTGGATGGATAAAGCCAGGGGGATACATTTTCTTCAGAGAATCTTGCTTCCATCAATCTGGGGACAGCAAGCGAAAGTCAAACCCCACCCACTACCGTGAACCCAGATTCTATACAAAGGTTCAATCTCTGGACTTAAATTTATGGAAATCATATGCATCTAATTTTTCTGAGACAAAGCTAATTGTCTTTTTTGTGCTACATCATGTAAGTTCTTTGTAAAAGTTTTGGTTATCATCATGTATATGACTGAGATCTAAATGTTTATCTTACGCACAACTGTGAGATTAGCCACATGAAGGTTCTCTAAAGTGTGTGTATCAGTTCATCGATGTGCTAACTTTGCTAAAGTTAAAATCTATGGTGTCCAGGTTTTCAAAGAATGCCAGACACGTGATGCTTCTGGCAATTCATATGAGCTCTCCATGGTTGGTTGCAAATGCATTGGGGCTTATGTGAAGAACAAGAAGAATCAAAATCAGGTAAAATGTTTTTTCCTTTTTAGATTGTTTACTTTCCATATCATTTGATCCCACAGATTTCCAAGAGGTAAACTTTGTTATCTCTGTAATGGCAGATTTGCTGGATTTGGCAAAAAGTCAGCTTGGAGAATGACAAGGACTTCCAGCGTTTCTTGGACAATGTTCAATACAAGTCCAGTGGGATCTTGCGCTATGAGCGCGTCTTTGGGGAAGGATATGTGAGCACTGGTGGATTTGGTAATTCCATTCTTACTCTTTATCTTCATAAGGACATATGTGCTTGTATTGTCTGTGTGTTGTCTCTAAGTTCTTGTTTTCCTTAACAGAGACAACTAAAGAATTTGTGGCGAAGATGGATCTTAAACCCGGACAGAAAGTCCTGGATGTTGGTTGTGGTATTGGTGGAGGTGACTTCTACATGGCTGAGAATTTCGATGTTCATGTTGTCGGAATCGATCTATCGGTCAACATGATCTCTTTCGCTCTGGAGCGTGCCATTGGACTCAAATGCGCAGTTGAGTTTGAAGTCGCGGATTGCACCACAAAAACTTATCCTGATAATTCCTTCGATGTCATTTACAGCCGTGACACTATACTGCACATCCAAGTAAGCAAAGCTACTAAAAACATCTCCTTTTTTCACCCTTGAAGATGCTTTTTGGGTTATCATCCTTTGCATCATTTGTCTCTGTTCAGGACAAGCCAGCTCTATTCAGGGCATTCTTCAAGTGGCTTAAACCAGGCGGTAAAGTTCTCATCACCGACTATTGCAGAAGTGCTGAAACTCCGTCTCCTGATTTCGCAGAGTACATAAAACAAAGAGGATATGATCTCCATGATGTTCAAGCTTACGGACAGGTTTGTGTTTTTTTTTTGTTTCTCACAAAACCTTTAATCATTTTACAAATTGAGGGACATTTCACATTTATTGATTCATGAAACCTTCTTCTTGTAGATGCTGAAAGACGCAGGCTTTGAGGATGTGATCGCTGAGGACCGTACTGATCAGGTGACTCCTACATACATTTTATACACATTTCTTTAAAATGCTGATTCTAACATAACCATTTTTCGCAGTTTGTACAAGTCCTCAGGCGTGAATTAGAAAAAGTGGAGAAAGAAAAGGAAGAATTCATCAGCGACTTCTCAGAAGTAAAAACATTTCTCACAACTAATCCACTGAGCAATACACCTGTTTGTTGTGTTCTCATATTGATCACAAAATCTTATTACAGGAGGATTACAATGACATTGTTGGAGGATGGGCAGCAAAACTTGAAAGGACTGCATCTGGTGAACAGAAATGGGGATTATTCATAGCCAACAAGAAGTAAAATCCATGTTTTCACCCCAAAATTCTGTGGTGATTCATTTCCCTTCAATAAAACCGTTCCTTTGGAGGACAATATCTGCTTGTTTTTCTATCATGGAACATAAGAAAAACTCGTGTTCTTTCGATTTTTACTCGAGTCTTTGTGCCACATAAAACCTACATTGCTTTGATTTTCCATAGATATTTTCAAATATCTGCATAAGATTCAAGGGTAATCGATTGTTCAGAGAATTCCTCAAGCTCGGCTTGTTCTTAGTGTATTCAAGAACAAAAGATACATTTATCATATGGGCTAATTAATAATGACTGGAGCAAACAGAGCACTCAATGGCTAAGTAAAAGTCAACTGGTTCCATCACTTTGTTTACGAGCCTGTGACTCCCAGAACAGTCTAACAGTGGAATAAATCAGAGAAGGCTCAGCCATTGCGCCGTTACCGTAATCTCCACAGGCCAGTTTCTTCTTGATGGGAGGAATGAGAGTGATTCCAAGTTCATCAAGCAACACAAGGTGCCGTTCTGTGAAAGGATTGTTCCACATCAAAGTGTTCATCGCCGGTGCAACAAACAACGGTTTGCTATAATCCCACGCTCTTACTATACATGTCAATAGATTATCACATAGCCCACCAGCAATCTGTAAAGACAAATGACTGGTTTTTAGATCATGAAGAACCAAAAACATATGAAGCCAAAGAGCTCTACATCTTCAGCTACTTTGCCTTATGATTTATTAGTACCTTGCCTAATGTGTTAGCAGATAAAGGAGCAATGATCATAACATCAGCCCAGCGTCTGAGCTCGATGTGAAGCACGGGATCACCAATCTTGTTCCAGCTAGACCATTCATCTTCATCAGTATAGAGAGTCACATTTTGAGGAAGAGAAGGTTTATCGACGAAATTCAGGGATGATTTCGAAGCGACGGCTTTGACTTCAGCCCATTCTGAGAAACAATGGCAGAGGTTACTGAACTTAATTGAAGCCACACTACCACTTGCAGCTAGTAAGATACGAGGCTTCCTTGTTACTGTATCCATTTCCATATTCATCTTCTCTATCTCTGAATCCAGAAGCAGGATCAAATTTTATACAACAATCCATAAGTTTAAATTTGAACATGGATTTAAATGAAACACAGGTCATTTAGGTTGAATTGAGACAACGTAGTGACAGAATTTTACATGAAATCGATCAGAGTAGATAACAAACGATCATGTTTTGACAGATCAGAAAGGAAACGAGAGAATCAATGGATTCAAAAGCTTGTTTTACCTTGTAGAGCCGAGGAAGGAGGATCTGCGAGAAACCCTAATCGAAAATCGAAATCAAATGCCGCGAGGGTTTGTTTTTTAGTTTGAAAAGAAAACAGAGAAGTCGACGACGTCACTGGTCAATCTGGTCGTTGACTTTCCAAAAATGGGCCTTACGAACAAGAAACTGAAACAATCCAAAAACCTTATTCTGGTTTTGAGTTCAGTAAGACTGACCCAATCACACAAATACGCATGTTATTTATGTTTCTAAAGTCCCCGTAATTTTTTTTTTATTAACAATCAATTATGTTTCTCTTGCACCATAACGATTATAGATTCCTAATAATAATATAAAGAAACTAATCGGCCGGTAATTTAGTTGAAAAGATTTGAATTTAGACTATTGTCAGTTTCAGACAAAGATTTTCAAAATAGTGAGATATTTGATAATTTCAGAATAAGATTTTCAAGTAGTGAGATATTTAGGTTTCTTTCTACTAAGCTTCTCTAATAACTCCAGCCAGATTCATAAACCTCAAAGAAAAAGAATGTTAAAATTGCTTGATAACAAAGACGTAGCAAATCAAATTCAGAAGGGAGAGTGAAAGTTTCTCCATCTCAGAGCTACACAGACCATTTTAACACTACTACTGTCTAAACCTCTTCTGGTAGCAATCAATTCTAGGAACGTACAAACAAACAACCCTAAATTGAAAATCAAACATCAACCAATCAGTCTTCCTCCAAATGAATGTTTTCTCCTAAATTCCCTAAAACACATAAAGATTTCTTTCTCCATCATCGTTATCCCTTGTAGATTCAGTCATATCAGTAGCTTTCTTTTACATTCCATCCGCTAGCTTTTGGACCTCGTCAATTGCTGTTACTGCTTGTTTCAACTTAGCTGCAGCTTCCTTCACTTTCTTTTGCTGCAACATTTTTCATTTCAATCACTTATCATCAGATTCTTTATTTTTTTTTAGTTGAAATGAATCAATTTTCACTAATCAAATGACCATTCATTTCTATCTTCTAAGCTAATACTACTTAATGTATAGTCCTGTTGATTATTAACGCTAGTATTCTTTTGTGATCCACACAACATAGTGTCTAAACCAAATTGATGCAGGGATAGAGCAACCATGGATACAGTTATGTTAACCAATTATAGAAGCTTAGTGGGGATAGTTGACTTACTAAGAGTGCGGTTTTTTTCTTGAGATCTCCGAGGTTTGCAGCTACCGGTGCTGCCACTGAAGTGCTCTTTTGTTCATGCATAGAAAACCCGACTTTGACATAAGTATACACTAATACACAGTTGTATAAGCATGATTATGTCTTCATATTGACTCAAATGAAATGATAACGACTAACCAAATAGATCAAGGAAATACACCAAAATCCAAAATACATCTTTTCAAAATATTTACGAATAATATCAAATACTGCAATAAATAGAGCACATTTTGAGACCACCAGAGACAAATGACATAAAACTCTAAACTTTTTCCACTCTATGCAGAACAAACAGTCAAGAACAACCATATAATTGATATACCCTTTTCTAAAATTATACAATAAGCATGTCTAACATGAACTAAACACTTGTAAGAAAATTGGCTCAAATGAATTGATAACCAAATAGACCAATCAATTTCATTTCCACATTATACAAAAGAGATTTATAAAATACACCAAATCCAGATAAGATACTGCACACTCAAATTAGACCACATTGGAGACCAGAGACAAATAAACACATTACTCAGAACTCTTTCCACTCTATGCAGAATAAACAGTCAAGAAGAGTATAATACATAGACGGTTTTACAAAATTATACAAAAAAGATTTAGGAAATACATAAAAATCCAGATAAGATATCTAGAAAAAATTACGGGGAATTTCAGATACTGCAATCCTAAAATATACCACATCTGAGACCAGAGACAAATAACACATTACCCTGAATTTTTTCCTCTGTATTTCTATACAGAACAAACAGTCAACAACAATCATACAATTGGTATAAGACCACTTCTAATTTTTTTTGACATTTTGTGCATAAAGATAATGAAGTTAAAGAGACATACCTTCCTAGTCCTGCGCACAGGCTGTGCAGCAACTGCTTCGACATTAGGTTTCCGTCCCCGTTTAGCTGGAGCCACCACAGTTGCAGCCGCCACGTCATCTTTCTTTGGCCTCCCTCGTTTTCTTGAACCCTCTCTAGTAGCAGTAGTAACCACAGACGCCGTTACAGTCGACCTCTTTGCCCTACCACGGCTCTTCACAGCAGCCGCCACAGAAGTAGTAGGAACAGCTGGAGCTAAGTTTCTTTTTGGACGACCACTTGGTTTTTTACTCGCCTTAGCAGAAACGGCACCGTTTTGTGTAGAGTCAGATTTAGCCTTTGGTGGTCGACCACGGCCGCGTTTCTGAGAAGCAGTATCAGTAGCTGAGACGCCGGTTGGATCCGTTTGAGGATTGTTGCCAGACGCATCTCCAGGTGTACCGGATCTTGAAGCTTCGGCACCAGACCCGGGATGTGTAGAAGCTGTTTTCGCCATGAGATCTGTAGATCCGAATCAGAAAAAAAAAGAAAGCAAATGTGAGAAAACGGCGGTTAATCGGAATCAAAACCCTAGAAAACGGACTTCAACGGAGACTAGACTTAGACTAAAACAACCACAAACTCGATTCCGCTAAAACCTTGAAGACGAAGACTGTAAAACACAGATTCAAGCTCAGGGAAAGATTAATCGAAACCGAAACCCTAGAAAACAGACTTCAACGGAAGATATTCAAGACTTAACAAAACAACACAAACTCGATTTCATCGCTAAAACTCAATGTGACAAACCAAGAATCTAGAAACGAAGAGAGTAAAATACAGATTCAAGCTCTCTCGCGTAGAGATTTCGTTTTGAGAAAAGTTAGGGTTCGCAAATCGCAATGTACGTACCTTGTTAAGCTTAGTAGAAGGATTCGCGAGATGCTAAAGAAAGCTTGAGGAATCTGGACGAAGAAGAAAGAAATTGCAACGAGAAACTTGGCGGAGAAGAAAGATAAGAGAGAGAGATGGTTTTCGCGGTTAGAAGAAGATGGTCACCACCATGGCTAGAGCTTGGAGAGAGTAAAAACGAACGACCGAGAGGTTCAGAATCCGTTGCGTCAACCGATATGGGTCCACCTTTAGTCCTTTTTTTTTTATCAACAACTCATTTTTCTTTTTAATCGAATTTAATTTTACATATTTTTAAAATGATTTAATCAAGAAAAATGATGTAAGATTAAGAGAATTCTGAATAATTTATTTAATTTTTTGTTCTATTAATTATTTTGAAATCCTTTTAATAGCCTGTTGAAATGAAGAAACCTTGTAGTAATAATACATGCAAATTTGGTGGTGATTTTTTTTAACTTTTTCTAAAAAAATTAAAAAGTTGATTGATAAAAACCAAAATTGAAAATTACCTACTTTTTTTCAAATTCAAATGTTTTTGGAAAAAAAAAAAGTAATAAAAGCTGGTTAAAAGGTGTGTTTCGAGTAAAAACAAAAATGGTTAAATGGTGTGAGTGAAGAGTAAACCGTTCTACCATCTACCTAATTTATGCAATAATTACACTTAAACCGGATTTCGAAGTTCAAACAAAGCAACTGACATAAGCAACGTTTATTTAATGGTACTGACTACATCACGTAAGAGGCTGAAGAAACCATCATAAAAAAAGTAGAAGTGGTCATAAAAATTACATAGGCGTTTTGATAAACATCAACAACAAACAAGCTCCTAAAAAGCCTAAGAGACAAAATAGAATATAAGAGAACCAGAGTCTAAAAAACATCAGGGAACAAAGAACAAAGCTGCCTACACAGATATGGACGATGGAGAGAGAGATGGGAAGCATGAACAATGGCAACATCCTAATTCACTTTACAGACATTACCCTACCTCTCCTTGTTGTTTGGTTAGAGACACAACACAATCATCATCATCACATTGTTCTTTTTGTTTTTCTCCTGCAAACACCCTTATAAAGATTAAAAATTTCATGGAACAACACAACAAGCAAACCCACCATCATCATCACCACTTGCTAGTTTTTTATGAGGTGTGTGTGTGTCAATGCTCTCTTTAGAACAGAGCTTCTTGCATTGCCTCTGCTTCTGTCTGTCCTTGTCCCTCTGGTTCGGGTTCGGTTACAGGGTGTTCCTCATCTGGCAGCTGCACTTCTTGCATGTGCTCTTGTGGCTCGTTTGTTGTCTCTGTTAGCCCTTCCAGATCCTGTATGGCTTGAACCAACGCTTGATTTCCACTTCCTCCAATCTCAGATTTCAACACAATAACAATATCCTTAGCTCTCGCTTGCTGCACAAATGAAAAATATGCAATTATTAAGCATGAAACCAAGAATGGACCATATTGTGTTTCTGTTCATGAAATTACTTACAAATAACTCAAACTTCTTCTTAAGTTCTCCATAGTCACCATCTTGTCGTCCAGAAGCTCCCACTGACACCGCATTCTATGTTTATAAATGGCAATAATATAGATGTTATTAGATAATTCATCAATATAATAGATTAACATAATCTAGTGGTGGACAACTGACAGTAAGAGAAAGACTTGGAACTTTGATTGAATTTCGGCTTAACAAAACCAAATTTGCTGGATGTATGTGCCTCAAAAAAGCTAAGTTCATATGTAATTCTCAACAATTATTAGCAGCTAAAGCGAGCCACCTACCAAGTTGCTCTTGATTACCAAAACAAAGAGAAATCTTAAATTAATAGTACACCAAACACTAGATTAAGTATAGGCCAAAAGCAGAGACACGAATATAAATGAAAACTCTAGAATTTATTTAGTTAGATACTCTCTACTCACACGCTCGAAAGAGACAATGTTGAGAATGGAAAGTGACATTTATTCACAAGACAAAAGTTCCAACTTTTTCTCTTATCTATTTGACTAGAAAACTCAAAAATCACGTTCTCTATAATAGCCTCGGGTTTGAGAATTATCATCACTGTGTAATCGCAGAGACACAAAGGAAGGATATTTTACCTTTCTGGGTCTTCCTAAAGGTCTTCCAGTACGAGCAAAGCTTCTTATCGGCTTCATAGGCTTCCTGATAACACCTCCAATCTTAGGAGGCCGTCCTCTTCCTCGTTTCTTGACTGCAACCTCCTCTCCTCCACTCTCGGCGTTAGGTGGAGGTTTTGGTGGTGCAACAGAGGAAGCACCACCAGCGTCAACTCTCTTTGGTCTCCCTCGGCGTCTAACACCACCATTAGCAACATAGGGGAACACTGAAGCCGGAGCTGAGACTACAATAGGCTTCCTCTCTCTCCCAACAGCTCTTCCACTCGGAGGTCTACCTCTTCGTTTCACACTCTCCACACCAGCGGAAACAGAAGCAGCTGGCTTCACTGTCGGTGAAGTTACGTCTTTTCTAGGACGACCCGGCGGTCTTTTAACCGTTGGCTGTGGCTGTATCGGTGGCTGTATCTCCTCTGGTCGAGAAACAGGTAATTCACTCTGTTCCCAGGTGGGTTTTCCATTAGTCTGAGGTTGAGGTTGAACAACATCTGGTTTAGCCTTTGGAGGTCGACCACGACCACGTTTCAGAGTCTGAGGAGTAGAAGAAGCCAAAACCGGATCAGGTAAAGGTTGATTCTCGTTGACTATGAAATCAGATCTGGGAGGTTCAAGACCAGAAGCTGCAGCTACACTAGTAGGAGGAGGAGTAGATGCTAACTTGTAAGATTTCTTAACCATAACAAGAATCCCACTGGTCTTCAAAGTCTTGAGATGATGTGTCAACAAAGCTCCATGAGCAGTAGGAATCCCAGTGTAAATTCTCTCTATGTACCTCGAAATCGCTTGCTTGCTTGACCCATCTGGTTCGTTTAACGCTGCAATCGCCGTACAAATCATCTAATCAAAGAAACAAAAATTCTAAGTGAGTGGAAAATTAAAAACCCTAACTTTAAAGTCAAAATGTAAGAATGAGCTCAGATGAGCTTACGTCAGAGTAAGGAGGGTGGGAAATAGATGGATGAGGAGGAACTGGAGATGTTTGTGGCTGCTGCGGAGGAGGAGCTTGATAGAGATGGATGTTGTTTGGCGGCGCGACGGCGGTGGCTCCGGTGAAGAAGGGGTGGTTTTGAGCGGCGAAAGGGTTGGAGTTGGTGGTGAAAGGAGGGAAAGATGTGAACTGAGGAGGATGATGAGGATCATTGGTTACAGAGAGAGAAGGATCCATGGATTTAGAGAGAGAAAATATTACAGAACAAGGAAGGTGATGAGATTTTTTATTTTTAGGTTTTTTTTTTTAATTTCAGATAAAATTTAAAAAACGTTTTGTGGAAGGAGAAGATAAAAAAAATAATAGTTAGGTTGGAGAAGAGAGAGAGTGTGTTGTGTAGTGTAAGAGAGAGATGGAAAATGACGAAAGAGAGAGTAGTTAAAATCGACCGTTGAAAGTGTATTTTGGTGCCGATTTACGACACGGATCGATGACGTGGCGTTTTTTTGCTTTTGTTATAAAATTTGAGTTTTGTGTTTCTTTCAACCTTTTTTTTGTTTTTGTTTTTTCTGCTTCTCTATTCAAGTACCATATTTAAATTATATATAAACAATTTTTCTTTTCTAATTTTGAAAGTTTTAAAAAAAAATTTCATTTTATACTAATAAATTTTCAAGAATAAGATTTATAATTTTATTTATTTACATTTCTAACAAATCATTTTTTTATATTCTTTATGTTTCAATGCAATTTGGGATCATCATGGGACAGAACTAGTCGTATTGGTGGTGCAGCGTGGGTTTTAAGAGATGAACACGGAGTAGTGTTAACTCATGGAAGAAGGTCTTTTGCCTCCATGGATAGCAAGCTTGATGCTAGTGTTCTTTGCTGGCAATGGGCTATAGAGAGTATGAAAAGTCTCAGAATTGATAAAATCATATTTGATTCTAAGGATACTGATATTATTGGAGCTGTCTTAAGGCCACCAGCGTAGCCCTCTTATAAGTTTCAGTCCCTTTTATTGCTTGAGGAATTAGGGAATTTTTTGGATTGGAATCTCTATGGTGAGATTAGAGCTACTAATCTTGGTGCTCATCTTATTGCCAAGAGTGTTACAGACTTACAGTGGAGGATCGCCGCCAATCGTACGTAGCAACCGGGTTTCCTTTTTGGTTAAAAAAAGCTCTTTGAGGATGAAAGTAGTATTGCCTAGTGTTATACTCATTGTGGTTGATCTAAAATGATTGTCCTTGATCCGATTTTTTGTATGTGTCGTCACTGGTTTTATGAATATATACATCAATCTTTCAGTGAAAAAAAAAATATGATGTGCATTAACATCATATCATACTATGTCCTCGTAAATGGTACTTCGTATGAAAAATTGGAAGCTTTCATGCGTTCGTGGCAGAGATTTAATTTCATTCCAGTTGGACTTGGCCAAATGCCTAGCAGCATTTATTCCTTACTCTGTTTTCTGCTTTCAAGCCCCTAAGTAGGATCGGCAGTTGTTGTGAACAAAGGAATGAATCTTTGGGTTTCCTCTCAACAACAGAATTTTGTTCAGGAGTTTCAGGGCAAGAATGATAAGAAAGAATGCCTCTTTATTTAAAAAGAGTGTGAAATTTGAGTTCATGAGCATTATCGGCTCTAACAGCTTTGGCTACCCTTTTGTATTGAGTTTCTATGAGCTTTAGAAACCCTGGGAAGACAGTGAGAACCTCACTTTGACTTTTGAGAAGATAGACCCAAGTAGCCCTTGAATGATCATCCACTATGGTTCAAAAATATCGAAAACCTTCTGTTCTGAGGTTTCAACTGAAAAAGGGCCCAAAATGTCAATGTGAATCAGATCAAAAGGTTTATCACAAATGTTATTATGAGATTTAAAAGGTAAGTGTTTTTGTTTAGCCAAAGGACAGATTTTACAAATGGTCTGATTGACCTTTTTATTCTTATGAGTAGGGAGTCAATCTGAAAGGATAGCTCTTCCTATTCCATCTTTTCTCGAATCTCCTATAACGGAAGAAATTGAAGCTTGAGAAGGAATACCAAAACCTAGTTCACTCGCTCTCTTTGCATCCATGGCTGAATGGTTAAAGCGCCCAACCTAATAAGAGAATTCGACAAAGCCTTCATATCTTTATATTCTATGTGCAGAGATTTTAAGTCAACTGATCATCAAAGTTGAAACAAATGGTAGCATTGAGATCCTTCTCTTACACCATCTCCAACAATAGGTTAGTAGGGGGTCTTACCATTTGTTTTAATATAGATTTTAAAATTTTTAAAGTTAAAAGCTTGTGTTAGAGTTTTAATTTTGCCATTGTCCAATAAGAGTATCCAAATTAAAGTGGGGTTCTTTAAAAATAAAAAAGACTAATTTAAAAAAGAAAAAATATAAACATTTTTTATTTTAGAAAACTTAATAATTATTGTAATTCATAAAATTTTAAACATAGTGTTTGGTGTTTAGTGTATTGGGACAAAAAAAAATACAAGAGATAGGTGAATCTGGTGTAATTGGTGTTTAAAGTGTTCATAATCACATCAAATACTTTAGTAATATAAAACAGAGATTCATGATCTACACATATTTTGATTTGGGGAATCTGGAAATCGAAAAATAATATAATGTTTAACCATCAATAGGTGACCCAGAACAGCTACAATGATGTCCACAAATGGCTAAATGCCCAAGCTCACTAAAGTCAACAAATGCAGCCATGTCCACCACAACACAAAAGTTTGGGTTGAATGCATCTTTGATAGCACTTGAGAAAGCTCGTAAAAATGAATATAAGCAAGACACACTTCTTTTTTCGCGAAAACAACATTTTGTTAAGATATCGATCGAAGGCTTTCTTCTAAAGAAAGTCGGTCGGTCCGTAACCGATGAGCTTACATGAAAAAATAAAGAACCTCGTACTCTTGCTTTTTTAGCAAAACAATCAGCACAGACATTGTTACAACGAGAAATAATTATAATAGAAAAAGATGGAAAAGAAAGCTTCAGAAATTTAAAATGTTGAGTTGAATCCTACTGCAAAAACAAGACACACTTAATTAGTGAAAAAGTGTTTTACCTGTTTCAAGAAGTCCACTAAACAACATTAGCCTTAAACTCCTTACAGCTCAAATAACCATCATTGTATATATGTATCGGAATTTTTATATATATTTTCGATTCGGATCATCTTCAAATGGAACTCTTTGGCCGTTATCTTCCATCACCGACCATATCACAAAGAGCAAACGATCTCTTCACAGCATAAAATAGTCTAAAACCAATAATTTTTAGCGTCAGACATTCACACAAAATATTTTTCATTGTCATTAGAATATATATATATATATATATATATATATATATATATATATATATTAAAGTTAGATGTTAGTTTTTCTAATGCTAGTAATATATATATATATATATATATATATATATATTACTAGCATTAGAAAAACTAACTTAATTTAATAAAAATACTTAAATTTTGAAGACAAGAAAAGAAAAATATATATAATTTGTTATCCAAAATTAGATTGGATTCATTAACACATGTTAAGTTTATAATTTAACCTTATTAAATATCAAATCTTGAAAAACTGAAAAATTAACAAGTATGTATAGAAAAAAAAAGATAAAATTTGTGAACCTATACATTTTTTAATTCAAATAATATATACAAGAATCTGAGAAATAAATAAAATTTTCCAATTTTTCTTGATAAATATATAGAAAATATATGTTTATAAAGTATATCCAATAATTTGGGCATGTAAATTTATATTGATTGTCTTTACATTAAAAAAAATCTAAAATGTTGATAAATTTTAAGGAACACTTTTTTGTCGGGTGCAAAAGACTAAGCTAATGCCCACGATTGGTCTATCTTTACTTAGGGTTTTGGTGCCTTACTATATATATATATCCCTTAATTAACAGGAAGAAATGAGAAGAAAAGAAAAAAAAAGGGCAACAAAAGGAAACCTTAGTTGCATTTTGAAACAATGACGACGATGATCTCCAATCTTCCAAGGGATTTGATGGAGGAGATTTTGTCTAGGGTTCCTTTAAAATTTATGAAAGCAGTGCGATTAACTTGCAAAAATTGGAACACTTTATCCAGAACCATAAGTGAGAGCTTAACGAAGATGCAAATTACTAAAGCAACAAGAGCGACAAGAGAAGGGGAATCTACGATAATCATGTTGATGAATTACAAACTTTATTTAAAGAGTCTCGTTGTCGATGACAACGTTGATCCATATACAGAGCCTAAAGGTAAACTTACTTGCCTTACTCTTGAGCATCAAGTCAAGATATCTCAAGTCTTTCTATGTGAGGGTTTATTGTTATGCATCTTGAACGACGATACAATTACTACTAGGCTTGTGGTTTGGAATCCGTATTGGGGGCAAACAAGGTGGATCAAAACCCGATATTCTCACCACGCATTTTGCGGAAGGGACAATACGTACATGTTCAATTACTCTCTCGGGTACGAGAATAAGAATTCATGTCGCAACCACAAATTATTGAGGTTTATAGATTATCATAGGAATTACCGCGGCCTACACCAATTTTTTTGGTATGAAATCTATGATTTTAACTCTGATTTATGGACAACTCTTGATGTCACTCCATACTGGTTTATAGCTATTTCTCAAAGTGGTGTTTCCCTCATGGGAAACACATACTGGTGTGCTAGGAAAAGGAGCGGCGGTTATAGCGATCACATTATTTGTTTTAATTTTACAAGAGAGAGATTTGGACCGCTTTTGCCTTTGCCGTTTAGCGTTAGGGATCATTCATGTGTGATTTTATCTTCTGTTAGAGAAGAGAAGCTTGCGGTTTTATTTCAACACCAAATGTATTATAAATATGAAGTTGAAATATGGGTCACGGTTAAGCTTGAGACCGAAATGGTGTCGTGGAGCAAGTTCTTGAGAATAAATACGGGGCCAATTATACACACAAGTTTTTTCATTGACGAGGAAAAGAAAGTCGCCATTGGGTTTAATGACAATCGCAGAACAATTAACATCATTGGAGAAGCTGGATACTTTAGAGAACTGGATTTTGGAGAACATGCAGAACCATACCGTAGGCGACATGTGTGCTCTTATGTTCCAAGTTCGGTCCAAATCAAGGAACCTGCACGAGGCAACAACAAAAAACATCAAAGCAGTTTAGAAACACGTCTATTTGATCAAAACATGTTGAGACTTATCGCATTTGAGAACGCAGTATCCAAGTAACCAAAGTGAGGTAGATTAGTCTCAATTTATTTATTATGTTGTAAAACAGAATAACAAAGAAGTCTATACTACTTCTTTTCTCAATTTACAAAGCCTACTTTAGTGCAAAAGGTTGTCTTATCATTTTTTTTTGCTAAGAATGTAAATATTTCAATGAAAATTGTCTTATCATCTAATGACTAAAGAAATAATTTTGCTGCCGTTTCTCTGAGATGGGTAAATTCTAAACGACCTATATTTTCAGCCGTGTTCAAAAAATCGCTAGGCGCTAGTCGGGCGGTAAGGGTGCGCCTAGCGCCTAGCAAGAAAATCGGAGATTACACGGGGATTAATCGGGGATTAGTTTTAGGGCTATTTAATGTTTTAAAAATATATTAATCCATTATAAATAAGAAATTTATATAATCTTGTTTTTAAAATTGCATTAAACACATGAAAACAAGAATTTAAGGTCAAATTTATGATTTTTATAAAAAATTATGAATATAAGTGAGACGTTTTGAATTTTAGATCCAAAAAAAAAAAAAAATGTAAAAAAAAAAAAAAAAAATTGGGCTAGGCGGACGCCTAGGCGGTCTAGGTGGACAAAAATCGGATCACCGATTTTTTTTACCGATTTGGACAAAATCGCCGCGGTCCCCACCCGATCAGCGCCTAGGCGGCCGCCTAGGCGGCTAGGCGGCCGATTTTTAGAACAAGGATTTTCAGTAATCTGATGTTCCATTCTTGATCAACCTTAGTTTATTTGGATTACTAAAAAAAAGCATGATATTTAATGGCCATGTTGTCGAAGCCTATGGAGCCTACATTAAGATCTTATATACGTGGACTTGGGTTTTGGGTGTAGAATATTTAAAAGATAAGAAATATGAACAAACTACAGAGCAATTAAAGCATTGCACTGCACAAACTCTGCTCTGTTTAGCGGCTTATGAATGCTGAAACATGTCATAGGGGGGTCTTTGGTTTCTTCGGAAAAGCAGCGAAAACGATCCTGATTGCATTTTTGATTATATTGAGTCATGCATGGTTGATCTCATTTGGTGTTTTTGAGCATGATGAAGTTCTCAAGTTTCAAACTGTGGCTACCCACAAAATTAATGCGAAAACCCATTAGTCAGAGTACACAATGCTCGAGTCAATTTGCCTTGTAACTTAACAAATCTCTCTCTCAGAGTCGTAATTGAGTAAATTCAGTAAGTAAAAATAGATAAAATGGTTGGTGCAATGATGTTTAGAGATTTTGGATTATGAGGGTTTGTGTTGTAACCACTGGAAAAGTAAAAGGTACTAACTCCTTGCTGATTAAAGATTCCTAAGAAGAAATTCTTGCTCTTTTACAGTTCTTCATCAACCTAAAGCCAGTTCGAGAGTCTAACTGTCTAAGTAACAACTTCAAATCAGATTCTAAGCGGTGTACTCAGTGTGTAAGCAAACAAATATGAAACAAAATCAATGGATCAAAATATCACGTTTGTGGATTCTGAAAATAGAAAGAACAAAAAATAATCCTCAAAACACTAATTCAGAAGAGAAGACTTCAGAGTCGATAAAAAAATTGGAGAGATTAAAGAAACTTCTTGTCTCTCTAATAACGACCAATACCCCAAACCCTGATAACTCCATCAGTGTAGCCACTGAACAAAGTGTTTCCATCTGCACTCCAGTTCAAACTTGTGCAGTAGATCACCTGCATTTTGCATTCCACATTAGAACACATCTAAACCACAATCTATCTCATCCCAGACAATACAATCTAAGAAATCAAAGACCAGAGCTAACTTAATACCAGGTTTCTCAATCTAATGTTAGCTACTCTCTTACCCACCAATAAAATCAGAAATGCATTCTTGTGAACTAACTACACATGAGAGTATTAAGGCCTTCCTTTATGAAAAATCTCATCTTTTAGAGCAATGGCTAATTCAACAATAGAAACGAATTCACCACAAGATAAAATAATGAGAAATATATACCTTTGTCTTGTTTCCGGTTCCAGTAGAAACATCAGACTTCTCAGCCTCAGTCTTAAGATCAACCTTCAAATCCTCAACAACAGACTTACTCTCAAGATCCCAAATCCTAATGCTATTCTCTGTTGCTGCACAGAGCCAGTACCTATTGGGACTGAAGCAAAGTGAATGAATAATAGAGCCAGCTTCAAGAGAATACAACTTCTTTCCTTCAGCCAAATCCCAAAGCAAGATCACACCATCTTTCCCACCACTAGCACATAAAGAACCATCAGGTGACACAGCCACAGTGTTCAAGTAACCAGAGTGACCAGCAAGAGTGTTCCTAAGCTTACAATTCTGGAGATTCCAAACTTTCACAGTTTTATCCCAAGAAGCAGATACAATAGTTGGCACAAGAGTATTAGGACTAAACCTAACACAACTAACCCATTCCTTGTGACCATCAGCTTCAGAGATTGTATACTTACACTCACCAAGTGTGTTCCAAAGCTTAATCGTGCGATCACGAGAAGCAGAGACGATCTGACGGTTATCAGTAGAGAAAGCAACAGAGAGAACATCTTTCGTGTGACCAACGAAACGACGAGTTGATTCACCGGTGGCGAGATCCCAGAGACGAAGCTCACCGTCCCAGGATCCGGAGAGAGCGAATTGTCCATCGGAGGAGAGAACAACGTCTTGAACGAAGTGAGAGTGACCTGTCATCCTCCGCTGAGCAACACCGTAAGACTTGTCTTCCTTTGTGAGTTTCCAGAGGATGATTGATTTGTCACGCGACGAGGTTACGATAACGTCGGAATTATCGACCGGTGTGGCGATGGCGGTGACCATATCAGTGTGGGCACACATTGTGCCTTTCAACACGAGTCCTTCAGCCATGGTTTAGGGTTTTGAGGTGCGGATTTTAGCAGAGAGGCGACAAAGATGGAGAGCAAAATGGAGGTAACGAGAAACGAGTGTATTTATACTTCTCAAGATTATAATTAGGGTTTTTTTGGGTCATTTCTTTATTTGGGCCAGCATTAAGGCCCGGTTATACTACCCAAGTACATTATATTAATATTGGTTCCAAATGTTGTACGAAAACATAAACGGATACACAGAATCCGAGCCATGAGCTTATCGCTTAGAAGTATGATGAAGAGTAACCATTTTCGAAATCGATTTTGACGAAATGATGTGTTCCCTTCGCAAATAACAAGTGAGGATCATAGCGTAGAATTGTTAAGAGGCGAGAACACAACTTATAACTCGCCGACGGAAAAAAATGTGTCGCATGTTTACTTCAAATTTCCTCTTTTTATCAGAGACGAAGAATGATATCATATGTATCATTTCCAAAATTTCTAAGTTTCTTTCAGGTTTTGATTCTCTCCCTCATGTTGAACGTGTTGGTAATAGTGGATGTTTTGCTCTTTTGTATTTGAAGGATTTTGCCGTTAAATTGTTGTTATGTAGTGACGTATTATAAATATTAAAACAATTATTGATAGAAACCGAGAAAATGCCGAGGAACGTTTAACCAGAATTGGTATTTACTACAGTCATTTTGATAACCACATGAGAACTCTACCGACAAGTTATTGTTGAAATATAGACTCAAAGTCGGTTCAATTAAAGTAAACAAACCGAGTTTAAGAACACAACTTCGACTGTCCCGTGGAAGATACAGTTTTAAATGTTCGAATTCCGAAGAAGAAGAAGATGAAGTGATTGATTAGATTGAAATCGATCACATCACCGTAGCAAAAACCATCTCTCTCTCTTTATCGCCTGAAAAGTTTTCTCCTTTTCAAGCCGAACGACCCAATTCGGGAATCTTCATCTTTCTACGTGTTTCCTCAGCTATGTATCTCTAGGTTCGACTTCAGTAAAAGCTTCACCAGCCATGGATTTCGTCAGGTTTGTGTTCGTTTCATCTTTCTTTCTAATCGTTTACTGTTTTCGTCAAAGTTCGAAATTTAGTGTCTTGCGTTCTCTCTCTCTATAGCCCACTAATTCCAATTCCTTAGGAAAGGGTTTTTGGTGAATAAAGTTAGGGTTTTTAATTGATTCGACGATACCTTGTGGAAAAAAAATTAGGGGTTTTTGGAGGAAGCATAGAAGGAAGGTCTTGCTGACTGCTGGTTGTTTAGGAAGTGGATATTTGCTCTACAAACTATACAATTCCCATACTCGTAGGCTTGCTGATTTGGAACGAGAACTCGCTCACGAGCGTGAAAATGACGAAATCATCAAAACCCAGTTAAGTTTTGAGCTACTCTGCTTTTCCTTATGGATTCTCTGACTGATCTTTTTGCTTATACTACTCTTGTTTAGAATGAAAGCACATTTCGAGAGTATTCAGATGATTGTGGATTCGACCACACTGCCTCACGCTATTCAGTATTTGAGTATCCGTATAAGCGAGGAGATCGATGTCTCGGATGTTATGGACAGACTGGACAAAGGGAAAGGAATGTTGAGTTCACCTGAGAAGCTTCAGCTCTGGGACGAGCTCAAGATTTTGAGTATGCACTGCACTCACCTACCTACTCTTATCAAATTCTGTTTCTTTACCTGTATCTATGTTAATGTGTTTGTTATTTGCCAGGTTTCACGAGGATGGTTTTGTCTCTGTGGTCTGTCACAATGCTTAGCTTATACATTAGGGTTCAAGTCAACATTTTAGGCAGACATTTGTATGTTGACACCGCACGAGCTCTTGGCAGCTCTCATATACTTGTAAGATAATATGCTTCCCCTCTTCTCTGTATTGAAGAATTTTCTGTTTATTAATCGTTACTCTACACGTTCTTTTCTGCTCCCCTTTACTCGCAAGTTTGAGTCAGTGTGCTTCACTTATCTCATCTCCAACAAGCTATTTCTAGGGGAAACTCACTGGTCGTTTTGTTAAGAACTTGTATTATTATGTCTCTAGTAGCTCTCTCTAATTTCGATAACGATTATGCAATTGAGAGATTTATGGGTGATTTGGACTAATACTTTGGAATCACCTATCTTTCTTTTCCCTTCTGAAGTAAAGTGAAGTTTTATACTCAGATTAGTCTTTGATTGAGTATCGGTTACTTTTTGAAGCAAACTGGTGCTTCTCTTGTGATATTCTTAATTTTCTTTTTGTTTTTCTATTGAATTCTCGTTGCAGGAAGAGTTAGATCTCATTGATAGAGATGATGAACAGAAGTTTTTGTCAAGTGCTGATTTTCTTGTCACCAATGCAATGCCAAGTTTGATTTCAGATATGCAGGGTGCAGTCGAGGAAGTCCTTAAAGGGTATGTTGCAAAATTTGTATCCACATCGTTTATAATTTGACTATTATTGGAAAAATTCTAACATGTTTTCTGTTATAATTGCAGAAAGCAGTTGAAGGATGTAATTACCACAAGAGTTCTTCAAGAAACCGTGATGCGGGTTTTAGAAGTGTTTATGAGCACTGGAAGTCCACATCACTGGGTTGATTATTTAATGATGCCTCAAGACACAAAGCTTTCAGGAACCACAAGCGGCTCTTCTGATGAAACAGTGTCCAAGTTTCATCAACTCATGGTTGAGACCCGAGAAGTACTCATCAAGTAAGTAATGTCTCTCTGCTAAGACTACGATAAACACAAATTTTACTCTTTATTACACTCTTGGATGATTGCGGAATAAACTTATTTCTTGTTGTCTTTCTTGTTGCAGCACTGAATTCACAAATATAGTGGAAATTTCGCTCAAGTGTTTCACGGATGCGTTGGTAGAGGAAATAGAAACGCAGACTGTAGCGGGCGGTTTGGCTACAGGGAAACCATTGGCAAAGGTCTTACCACACATTGAGAAAACAATGAATGTGATTACAGCTGAACCAAGCAAGAACCGGTTCTTACAAATCATCAGAGATCTGCCTGAAGTTAAACTCTTTTTTACTCTTTTATACGCTAGTATGCCCCAATAGCAACTTTTGTTTGTTGTTCTCTTAGCAATTCCCCAAAGTGTTTGCCATTTGCTTTCTTTTTGGGGGTCTTATTAGCTTCAAAGAAATGCAGGAATTTTTGTGTTTTGAGCTTGTAGAATCAAAGTTGATTTGTTTTCTTTTTTTTCTTTTTGATTAGAACAAACATTTTTTAATAGGACACTTGGAACTTTGATTAGAAAATAAGTAAAGCAACTTACATTTTTGATCATTAAATATGTAACATTTAAAGTGTCCACGATCCCTCCATTGCGTCCGGAACTTGCATACAAGTCAACGGAAATAAGGTTGACTTTTCTAATCTACAACTACATGCCCAAAATTTATACATATTCGTCATTTATGAGATTACCAGAGAACCAAAGTGTGAAGAGTTAGTCGGCAAAAATGTACATTCAGATGACAGATGGAGTTCCTCCGCCGCCGGAGCAAAGTTCATTAGACCATCGGGTTGGTCAGATCACCCTTTCATTCTCAATGCCTTATTATTAAAATCTAATTTGCTTTACTTAAGAAGATTAATCTTTTTCTTTCTTTTTTGGATTATAAATAGATTGAAGAGCTTGAGAGACAGAAAGAGATCGACGATTGGCTTCCGATAACTTCATCAAGAAACGCGAAATGGTGGTACTCCACGTTTCACAATGTGACTGCCATGGTTGGAGCCGGCGTCCTTGGTCTCCCTTACTCCATGGCCCAACTCGGATGGTACTCAATTGTAAATTGTTTTAACATTCTTTTTGCATTTGCATTTATTAGCCTATGACAGAAAAAATAGCATTTGCATTTTTGCTTTTTAACGTCTAAAAAGCATTTGCATTTATTTGTTAAAATGTTGTTCACATTTCTTGGAATATATTATTTTAAGTTTTCATCAAATCTTCGCAACTTTTGAACACAAACGTAATGCTTAAACAAGAATATGTATTTTGAATATGTATGTAGTTTTTCTTACTACAATAAACCTACTTTTGATCTAAAGTTTGTACATAACCACCAAATAGTCTGAAGGAGGTCCTACCTACACTTTGTATTATCACAATATAACATATGTACTTAATGGTATAAATTTATATGAAATTGAGCCAAATATTCGAGATTTAATTTACAAGATGATCTTGTTGACTTGTTATATATGTTAGGGGACCAGGCATAGCAGTCCTGATACTATCATGGATAATAACACTTTACACGTTATGGCAAATGGTGGAGATGCATGAGATGGTTCCTGGAAAACGCTTTGACCGCTACCATGAACTTGGCCAGTTTGCGTTTGGTGAACGTCTTGGCCTTTATATCATCGTCCCTCAGCAAATCATTGTTGAAGTAAGCATTCCAGATTTAATAGTACAAACCATTTTCTATATATTTCTTGATATTGGTTACTCTAAACATATATATAAAGGTTGGAGTATGCATAGTTTATATGGTCACCGGAGGACAGTCGCTGAAGAAGTTTCATGAACTCGCCTGTCAAGATTGCTCACCGATTAGACTTTCTTTCTTCGTAATGATATTTGCTTCTTCTCATTTCGTTTTATCTCATCTCCCAAACTTCAATTCCATCTCGGGTGTCTCTCTTGTCGCCGCCGTCATGTCTCTTAGGTTATCATCTTTTTTTTTTGTTTTTGTTTTCTTTGGCCAAAAAGGTATACTTATCATCTTATTATATTTGAAAATGTGCATAGTTGTATTACTATTACATGATTATTTTCTTTCAAAAACGTGAAAACATGATAAAAAAGTTTAAAATAGTAGAAACATGCTTCTGAAAAAGTGGTATATCAATCATCATTTACGTATTTTTTTTAGTTATTCGACGATTGCTTGGACAGCAACAGCTGCGAAAGGCGTCCAAGAAGACGTTCAATATGGTTACAAATCAGGCACGACAGCGTCAACGGTCTTAAGCTTCTTTACGGGACTTGGGGGGATTGCGTTTGCTTATGCAGGTCACAATGTGGTGCTTGAGATCCAAGCAACGATACCTTCCACTCCAAGTAACCCTTCTAAAGGTCCTATGTGGAGAGGAGTCGTGGTGGCTTACGTGGTTGTAGCCTTGTGTTATTTTCCCGTCGCTTTAGTTGGCTACGGTGTTTTTGGAAACGCCGTTTTGGATAACGTTTTGATGTCGCTCGAAACGCCTGTTTGGGCCATCGCAACCGCTAACTTGTTCGTCGTTATGCATGTCATTGGTAGTTACCAGGTCAGTCCAATAACTTAACAATGATACATGAAATTTTCATTGACCAATCAAACGAGATATCTATCGGCTTTCTGAAATAGGACAATAATTTCTTTCGGTCCAAAATTTAGTTTTTGGATGATACTCTAGGTTTCAGTACATGATATACAGTGCAAAAGATTGTATTCTAAATATAAGTTTTTAACTGCAGATATTTGCGATGCCGGTTTTCGACATGGTGGAGACATTTCTGGTTAAGAAACTAAATTTCAAACCCTCTACAATTCTTCGTTTCATCGTACGAAATGTTTATGTTGGTAAGTTTGTTGGTGTGCTCTATTGAGTCAGTAAGATTATCTCTTAATAATTTCTTAAACGATATATACAACTTTTATAAATCAAAGAAAATGCTAAACAACATTCTATATGTTAAGATTGAAGATCTAGACTTTGTCTTGCATGATTATTAATGTATAATTGTAATTGATTCAAGAATATATCTGAATTAGATATTTGATTAATACTTGTAACTTTTTTGTATAATGTGTGAGGACAGCTTTAACGATGTTCATTGCGATAATGATACCGTTCTTTGGCGGTCTTCTCGCTTTCTTTGGAGGATTTGCGTTTGCTCCAACAACGTATTTTGTAAGTGTATATATTAGTTATTAGATTTTGAACTTTATGCAGATTAATTTTCATGTATAGAAAGTATATTTCAATATTTATAAACTTTGTACGCTTTACAATTTTGTTCTACAGCTTCCTTGTATAATGTGGCTGCAAATCTATAAACCAAAGAGGTTTAGCCTGTCGTGGTGGACGAATTGGGTAATGTCTCTTTTGTTTTGTCCAAATTCGTTAATACTTTAGAAATACATTAAAAATCTAACAATGAGATTCGTATGTAACAGGTATGTATCGTGCTTGGAGTTGTTTTGATGATCTTATCATCAATAGGAGGTTTAAGGCAAATCATTATTCAATCCAAAGATTACAGTCTCTTTTCTTGATTAAATTCTCCCTACTAACACAATCTACAATAGAAAAAAATGGGCTTTCTTTATCAAATACAAATTTATCAATTTTTCATTCGTGTTTTGAGTGTTAAACGGGACTTTTCCTTTATCAAACACAAATTTATCAATTTGTCAAATTATGAAGATAATGAGTATAATTTTTGGGATTTCTAGGAATTAGGGATCATAAGACATTTTAGTTTTTTCAAACGGCAACGAATGCTGAATACACAGAAGGAAAAAAACAGACAGTTTATGAGCTACACAACAAAATATTGAAATCTCTGGTTAAGTATCTTACATTAAGATTATATGTATATATAGGTGTATACAATGATAAAGAAGAATCATAAGCTCTAAACTAAGACAAGAACAGAGACATAACAAGACCAGTTCCACGAGCCACTCTCTTTTTGAACTTACTACTCACAAAGAACCTACAGAGCAATATGTTAGAGAGCTCTGAAGTAACTTCTTGGTTGGGTTCTTGATTTTCCAACTGAACCAAGAACTCTGAATAAATCATCTGCAAATCTGAAAACTTCAACCAAAATGCACCAAGCCCTCTCAACTCAAAATTTTCGTCTATAAGAATCTCCCGACTCTTTCTGACAACAAACCTGAGAGATCACGAGGTTGGTAAGAATCCATACGAGTGCAGATTCACATTTCTCTTTGGTTCTCTGCTACGAACCCTTAACTCCATTTAGTTGATGCCTGCGCCGTTTTTTTACTTTTGTTCTTCTTTAAGAGCATTGACATGTGGTTAAGATCATTCAGACTCGACTTGGACTCGCCTTGTAACCACAACAAAGCTTCATGAGCTGCATCCTTCTCTGCATTTTTCTTACTACCACATGGCTTCCCCATGAAATCCAATCCATTGAAGGTAACCATAGCGCGGAACTGGTTGTTCTTAAGCTGTCTTGTCTTGTACACAGGTGATCCGTGTCCTGCTCGGGCAAGCAATGTCTGAAGTTGGTTCTTGTTGTTTTCACCGCCACTGTTCTGCAGCTGAGTCCCTACTTCTTTTAATTTCTTTGTTGGTGTAGGGGTTAGAGCTTTCCGGCCATAGACGAATCTGCCCTCACATTGGTCTTCTGACACAAGTAATCTAATGGCAGTCATAAGTTTGTCGTATAGTTGAATATCAAGTTTTGGATTCACGAGCTGTAGAAAAGATGAGAAATAAACTTTGTCAAAGAGGGTAAAGACAGCAAAAGATGTATCCTCAAGACTAGGGTTGGAACTTTACCTTATTCTGAATAAGTTCGTCGAGCTCTCTTTTTAACGAAAGGTACGTATATGCTAAAGTAGGTTTCATGAAAAACTCTAGATATCCTCCAAGCATTTTGAGATGACCATCCTATGGGAAACACAGAAACGACATGATGTAAATCAGATGTGAAAATAAGACCAACAAGGAAAGAAATTGACAAAATAGGATGGGATTATAACTCACAAATCCACCGGAAGAGATTTTATCTCCAAACAAAAGAAGCACAGAGTCAGATACAGCAGTGGAGTCTCGCAGAAACACAGAATTGACTTTCACTTTATCGTTGAAGACTAGCCAAGGGAAGGGAATCCTTGGTACATTGCCATTCACAGAACTCTGATAAATACAAAAAGCAGGTGTTGGTATTCTGAGGAGAGTTTGAAGACTGGTAAGCTAGAAAGATGTACTCACCGAGTATAGAAGCACTTGCCCATCTTCCATTGTCTTGAGCGTAATTGACTTTTCCTTATTCTGTGGAGGAGAATAGTTTTATATTAGAGTAAAACTACAAAATTTAGGGGAAAAAAAGAGGTGAAAAGTAAATGCAATGGTGACGACGACTCACAACAACAGAACAAATTCCAGGGAACAGGCCAGCACAGATGATTGCACGGACAAGATGTTCATCATGACTCAGCTTACTGCAACCTTCAATGTTATCAATCAGAGAAGCCTCCTTGAGGAGATTGAAGAATTGTTTTCGCATAGAGTCCATGGCCTTAAGAGTTTGAGAAGAGAGAAAGTTCTTCCAGCAATATTCGTAACCAGAATGTGTTCTTTCAGCATCTTTCCAACCACTGTATGCTCTAACCAATGTCAAATGATCACTGTAATCACGGCCAGAGAACTTGGACTTTGCTGTTTCTGCTAGCTGCAGTAAAAGGAATCAAGTGAATAACTAGAGGCACTTCTTGGCTTTCCACTGGCCTCCAGGCAATTGAGAGAAGCATTTCGCCAAAAGCAATATGAATGAATCACATGAATCATTCACTATAAACTTACATCTTTTTTGTCAAATGGCATAAGGAATGGGTCTCTGACACTAAGACCAGCAACAACTGTCATTACTGGATCTAGACAGTTGAAGATAGCCCCTAAAATAAGCATTTTTCCAAGTTTAGGCTCCACAGGAAGCATTGACAGATTTTTACCTGCATAGAGCATATAATGAGTTCCTGCCAGAGCTTGAGAAAACAGATATTTAAGATAACATAAAAATGTCCCGTAGAAACACACCTAAAGCTGTTAAATTTTCATCGTCATCAAGAGCCCCAATGATTTTTAGATACTCAACAGCATTTTGGACCTGAAAATCAACATGACCAATGTTAAACCCCAAAGGAAAACCCAACGAGGAGAGAACAAAAAAACTGTAGCAGGAAAATACCGATAATGCTTCAGGAGGTTGCAACGCCCTGGAGAGGAACTCTGAAATGCTTCCAAGTCCTAAGCTTTTAATTTGAAGACACAGAGACTGCAACGGCGTCCTTAGAAGTTCCGGCTGCTGGTAGTCAGCAAAAGCATCATAGACACATCTAGGATAGAGGTGATAACATTCTCCAGGCATAACACGACCAGCTCTTCCTCTTCTCTGTAATAGAGGAAAAGAAAAGGCACAATTAGTTACAACTACACAAGAATGTAAATCAAAATATATTTTGAGCAGTAATCATTTATGTCTATCTCTTACTTGGCGAGCAGCTGCCTTTGAAATCCAAGATGGAAGCAGACAAGGGGTATTGTTAAGCGCATCATAAGACGTTTCTTTTGCTTTACCACAATCAATCACATATACAACATCATTGATTGTGATACTTGTCTCAGCCATATTGGTGGCCAGCACTATTTTCCTAATTCCTTCTGGAGGTCTATCAAAAATCAGCCTCTGTAGAAAATAAAATGAAAACATCATCACAAAAAATGATTGCAAGAGCGGCATAAGATAAATTTTAAAATTATAACATGTGCTGTACTTGTATGGATAGATAGGCAAATAATGGACACCAGATTTACCTGCTCAGAGCTGGCCATTGATCCATGACAGGCAAGTAACAAAACTTTGTTCGGGTCTCCTAGAAGAGAATGAGCTTCAAGCTGATTCTTCAAGGAGTTTATATCGTCCCAACCGGTCATGAATACCAAAACAGCACCAGGTCTCTCTCCTTTGACGATGTGACAAAGCACATTCTCAATGAGGTTAAAGCCTATCGAATCAGGACTCCAGCATGACAAAGAATCTCTAGTACGAAAGTTGTATCCTTTGAAGTCTGCAGCTTCAAGAGCATCCTGCTCACACATTCAGAAGAAGAATACTTTTACGCAAATAATCTGAGAAGATACAAAGTCTGTAGAGTAATATAACAAACTTTTTCCGTACCTCAACAGCAGAGGATATAGGGGATTTCCTTTTTTTGAACTGAGCTTGTTTTTGCATCTTCCATGTCTTTTCCTCACCATAATCATCAATTTGATTATATGCTGTCAGCCTGTACCCACTCGTCTCAAGATAATCCTCTAAGAAATGGGCTCGGACAGGGTATGTAAAACCCTGTAAGATAATTTTCACTTTAGTTCAAACACTCTTCTAAATGAGATACATTTCACCGGATATGGAGAAAGAAAAATGTTAAGCAAAAGAATGTGCATAAGCATAAACTTACTGGGATATGCATGGCTGGTGCACCACCAAAATAAGAAGAAAAAAGCTCAGCGTTCAAAGTAGCACTCATTAAAATCAACTTTAGGTCAGGTCGACGAGGAAGGAGATCTTTCAGGACAATAAGTAGGAAATCTGACATAAAAAGAGAAAGAGTGTGTTAATATGATACTGGCAGCACTGATGGCATTTATTCCCTTTGGTGAATTGCCAAAATTTACCTTCATTCATCCCACGTTCATGAATCTCATCAACTACGACATGAGTCACACCTTTCAGGCTACGATCAACAAGTAACCTTCTAAGTAAAACACCAGTTGTACAAAAAAGAAGACGTGTATCTCTCCCTCTCATTCCTTCAAGCCGCACTTTGTAGCCAACCTTCCAAGAGAAGATAGTGCAAATCAACCTCAAAAAGTATTGTCACAATATAGAATTTCCTCTCAGGTCATAGTGTTAAAATCAGATTTGTTCGTCCCACTAAATCAGTATAGGTAGATTAAACATTCCACAGTAACTCACAACAACTGGTCAAGAAAAGAGCGTATAAGAAACTTAC